TATGGATTAAACCCTCATAATGTGACCCTTAATGCTAGTTTGCTTCTACCCAAATCCACTCATTTATTACTTAATAAGGATTGAAACCTTATAATGTGACCCTTATTGCTTTTTTTTTTTCTTTTTTTTTTTTTTTTTTTTTTAAACTGCGCCTTTTTATGTCCGTTTAACGAATGTGTCCCTTATTGCTAGTTGGCTACTACCCTAATCCACTCATATATTAGAAATACACCTAAATATATGGTGCAATAATTATCATATATCCAGCAATTTAATTTTCAATTAACAAACAAAATATATTTAGGTGGAGAAAATATTAAATTGGGTTGATTTCTATCTTGTATATGCTAACAATCAATTAAATTAGTAGATTTTTTTTTTTTAAACAAAAATTAGTAGATTTATTCACAAAAAAGTAACAAAAATAGATTAAATTAAGAATAGACAAAATCAATATCTATCTGTACTTCAATTTGAAGGGAATTGAAGTAATATAACTCTTAACTCTAAAGTCCGTTCGAGTACGTCTAGTGTTGGAGTAGACCCCAAACACTCTTCATCCACGAATTACCAAATGCGCTTTATCCCTTTCCAAACACACTCGTTTTAAAGAGCATATCATAGTATTGAATATATATATATATATATATATATATATATATATATATATATATATATATATATTAACAGAAAATTACCATACACGATTTGTTTTTGTTTTAGTTTTTATTTTTATTTTTTTTAATTTCAAAAAATCTGAAAAAAGAAAAGAAAACAAAATAAAACCAAACACTACCTAATGACTCGGAATCCCCTGTGGGTAATCCACGTCATTGGCGTTAACCAATAGGAAATATCGGTTACGCAATAAGCAGGCCACGTCATATACAATTTGCCAACGCATGCACGTTAGACTTTCCAGTGGGAAAATTTTAACGGTGAAAAGAGCAGTGAGAATTGAAGACAGAGCTCAGAACATGGCGGAAGAACCACCGAAGCAGACCTCTTCCTCGGCGGAGCAATCTTTTTCTACGTCGTCGTTAAAATCTTCTGACGACGCCGTTACGAAAGTGCCCCAGGTAAGAAATTATTCTTCCTCAGATGAAATACACAATATCACACGTTCCTCTATTACGAGGTTCACGAAGTCCGGATCTAATAAAGTCCTTTTCTTTTTCAAAATATGATAATCTTCAAATATGATGGAAATTGAGTAGTAATTTAGGTTAGATGGCTGTTTGTAATTATTCATGGTGTCTAGGTTTTGTTGATTCGAAATCGAACAATTTCTGGGCTCCATTTAGATGTTCGAAGGAATTATTAGGGGAAATGAAAAGATGCGTGAATCGAATTGAAAATGACTGGATTACTGTCACAATACTCATCAAGTTTGAAGTTCCGAAATACTCACCATGATCCCCTTGTTGATTTTCTCCTTCTTTGCGTTGGCATTGACATATTGTGTCTGCTTTGGAGGTTATTGCAACAACCAAACTCCATAAAAAGCATAATCCGGAATGTGCTTTTAGGCTATTGGAGGAGAGCACCTGTTGTGTGTCTAGGAGCAGTTAACAGAAGTTTATGAATGGGTTAAATGAGTGTGCTAAAAGAGTACAAGCTGGAAGGATTAGCTGATCCTTGTTTTATGTTAGAATAGGTTCCATTTTTATAGCTTCAGCATGGATAGCTACTTAAAACACTTAGGTCTTTTGGGGTATTTATTGCCAGCACAAGACATGGGGAATGCTGATGCCAGCACAAGACATGGGGTATGTATTTGCAAAAAATATAAAACAGGAGCTGTTGATAAATGTTTCTCTAAGGCCTTATTTGAAAACCAAAAAGGTGAAAAATGAGCTCAATAGGTTCTAATGGCCATTTAAATTCCACATCCATTTCAATTGCATCTTCTCAGCTGTTTAACCGTGCAAGGCAGAGATTTAGACTGCTGATGTATCCTTACAGTCCTTCGCCCTTTTTCTTGTGCTCTTGTCTTCCTGGACTGTGTCATCCTCTAAAGCATCACATATGTGCTAAGTGATGTTGTAATACTAAACTTCTAATTCAAATGCAAATCACTTACCATTGCAGTTTTCTACCAGTTTTCATTGTCATAGTATTTATTTGTGAGTAATTTTATGCATGTGTGCTCCATTCCGTACATATTCCTATTTGCTTTAGGTGTATAAAAAAACCATTTAGACATGACCAAATAGAAAGTGGATAGAAAATAAAAAATTGGGGTCCACAAAGAATGAAAGAGAAAAGGTTTTATGTGTGTGCCTATGAGTAGTTGGTTTAAGAGTTCCAAAGGGCTTGTGCTCACACAAGAATATCTTGTGTAGCTGCATTTATTGGCTTTGTTTATTTAGGGTTTATTTATTTACTTTGGAATTCCTGGTTTTATTAGTTTTATCCTTAAGAATATCTTTAGGGTTTATTTATTCATTTATTTTTGTATTTAATTGATGCTTTTTGGTGCCTTTGCAGAGTTGTTTACAGGGACACAACCTCTGTATTCTCCAAGCTAGATTCTGATCCTCTTTAATTTTGTCTCTTACACAGATAACATCAACATATGGGTCTTCCTCAGCTGATAGCAATAACCATATGCACCAAACAATGTACCAGCCACTCCTTTCTGGATTTTACTACCTACAACAGAACCAGGAGGAGTTGAATCGTGGCCCTGGTCTTTATGCAGTTTCAGTTAATCCTTTTATGGATCATATGCCAGGATTTCCACCCAACACACTTATCCCTTTAAGATACAGTGTACCCACGTAAGCACTCTTGTTAACTTTTAAAGATCAATCTTCACATGTTACTCTCATTTGTAATAATCTTGTCAATTTCCCACATTTTTCTAGATTTTCTATCATGTTCCGTAGTTCTATAATTTATAGGCACAAATTGTTTCTTTTCCTGTTAGAAGTGCCTATAGACTAGCTAGTCAATGGACTTCATTTTACTTAATTATTACTCCGTATTATTTTGATAGGATCGTGCATTTATATTATAGATTATGCATTCATGATATAGGTTTTGCTTAAACTTTTTACTGTTTGTTTTCCCAGTTTGATCAGTTATATATGACAGGTCATGGGTTTATAATATAGTTCTGCATTTATAATTTGACAGGGTAATGCAGTTATAATATAGGTTAATTAATTTCTCAGGTCCTTTCATTTGTAATATAAGGTTATAAGGAAGGGAGGTGGAGTGAGTTTCACCTAAGCATCTGGATAAATTGGACCTTTCTGCTGTCTATTTTGGTTTCCTAAATTGCTTTTTGAGTGTCTGTAAGATTTTCTCCTGGCATCATTAAAGTCTTAGCATGTCATGTTTAAATCTTGTAATGTGATATTAATCTCGTGGACTTATTCATATTCATGGTTGATACTGAAGAGTCTAATAAGCTATTTACTTTCAGCCACAAACCCCACCCACTCCCAAATCATATTCATGGTTCATACTGAAGTTCCTCCCTTGAACATTGCTTATCCTTTTTATATATCAATGGTCAATTCATAGTTACTGTAAACAGCGAACGTAGTTCTTCTGAGCATAGAGCAGGGAGTGATGAGCAAGGACAAGTGGGACAGCAACCACAGCTGCAGCAACATGCCCCTGAACCTCAGCGCCAAGTAGTCGTGAGGAGATTCCAAATTGCATTTCAGCGTGACCTCTTTCTGATTCTTAAGCTGGCTGCAGTAATTTTTTTGTTTAATCAAGATGGATCCAAGCAAAGACTTGTTGTCCTTGTGTTTTTTGCTTCACTTATTTACCTGTAAGTTATTTTGAATGCTTATCCTTTTCATTTGTTTTGATGCCTCCAATTTAACTCCCCTGCACCCCACAGAAGGCTGGTCCTGTCTAGGGTAATCAGTTTAGACCCCATGAAAGATTTATTGATTATTGCAGATACCAAACTGGAGCTCTTGCACCATTGATAAGATGGCTTTCACAAGGAATGCAAAGGGGGGCTGCACCTCCTCAACGTCCCAGACCAGCAGTTAGGGCAGAAAATGCCGCACTTGCTGGGAGGCAGGGAAATCAAAATGGTGCTGCAGAAGGTATTTTCATCAGCTTTATGTCTACAAATAGTTCAACCCTATAAAAACATGCAGAACTTCTATTTGCCTAGGTATTTTCAACCCTATAATATGAAGTGCAAATAGTTGTTGGTTCTGTTTGGTTTGATCATGTCACACTGATATGTCTTACTTGACATGACCCAAATTGTTTCTTGCTCTTCTGCTGGCAAAGAAAAATTTTGGCACTAATTTCCATGGCTGCCCTCCACATTTATCTCTCATGTATGAAGTCCAGAAGCAACTGAATTGGGAGTGTTAAAGATTCTAACCATAATCTAATTCCTTTTCCCTCTTGTGTTGTCCATGTGGCAGCAGGGGCAGAAGGAAATGGAGGTGAAAATGGGAATCAGCCAGGCAACGACGGAAATAGGGCAGGCGAGAATGAGCCAGGGGCGGATGCAGGGGTTGTTGCAGAGGAGGGCAATAGGTTGTGGCTAATTGTGAAGGAGATCCAAATGATTGTATTTGGCTTCATTACATCACTGCTTCCTGGGTTTCACAACATAGATTAGATTGATTAGAATTAACTGTACACCAAGTAGTCATATGATCATTCCGGATTTATAAGGATGATTTTTGTTGTTTCTATACATCTTAAAGGGAGCTTCTACTGCCCTATTCCCAGTTCCCAAATAGTAAATAATTGTGTTCGAGTATTATTTTGACACTGTAGAAAATCTTAAACTTTTAATGCCAGAAGTTGTGGTGGATTTTGCTTTGTACGTTTGGCACCAATAATATACACTCACCAATAAAATCTTAAACTTTGTACGTTCACCAGTCCACCCGAACCTTAATGTTTTTTTTTTTTTTTTTTTTGGCAAACAACCTTGATGTTAATTATACCATGCGTGTCGTATACTTCATTTGTTTTTGAGGTTGCTTGTACACTCACACGTGACGCAAGGGCCAACTCTTTTGTTAAACGGAGAACAACAAAAGACCACTGGAGGCGACAAAGTAAACATTTTGGGCTCTTGATTGAGTCAAAACATGGCAGCTTTATATCCATTTTGACTCAAGCAAGATGTCTAATTAACAGCGAGAGGCTGATGCAGGTGGGGAGGATGAAAAATGGGGTTTCTTTCAGGTTTCTCTCTCTAGTAGTGATAATAACGGCAGGTTTAGTCATCACGGCTCTACGTATATCCAGAGAGAGGATAGCTCCGAAGCTAGAAGATGACCGGAAATTCAAGAAAAGCCCACTTTCAAGCTGCAATTTTTATTCAGGAAAGTGGGTGTTTGACCAGAATTTCTCCCCTTTATACTCCAGCAGAAACTGCTCCTTCATGGATGATGGGATGGCTTGTGGCAAGTATGGGAGAAGTAATCTCGATTATATGTTCTGGAAATGGCAGCCCCATGACTGTGAGCTTCCAAGGTAGTGTCTTTTCCCTATTCAATTCTAATCTTTTCGCTGATAAACCCTATTTTCTACTAAGGGATTGCTTCTTTTTTCATGGATTTTGATAGGTTTGATGCCATCTCTCTGTTGGAGAAGCTGAGGAACAAAAGGGTTGTGTTTGTTGGGGATTCTCTTAATAGGAACCAATGGGTTTCTTTGGTCTGCCTGATTGAGTCATCAATCCCTGATGAGAGTCTCAAATATGTGAAGTTCAATGGCTCCTTGGTCACTTTTGAAGCCATTGTAAGACTATTTTCTTGTTGCTCCTCATCTTTTCCTTTTAGGGTCCGTTTGGAAACCAGGAAAATGACTTCTGGAAAATGTTTTATGGAAAATGAGTCATTTTCCGGAAAACATTTTCCTTTCCGGTGTTTGGTTGCATTCTGGAAAACTGTTTTTGTGTGTTTGGTTCATTTTCTGGAAAATGAGTAGAATTGTATAATTAAACATTTTAATTATTTTATTTAGAATATTACAACATGTATAATAATATATAATAATATAATATTAATTTTAAATATAATAAAAAATAGCTAAGTTTTTCAACAAAAAAAAAAAAAAAAAACTAATAATATATCAAAAATATTATGGTGGTGGTGGTGGTGTAGTGGTAGTGGTGTTATTCGTTATATAATAATAATAATAATAATAATAATAATAATAATAATAATAATTGGTGGTGGTGTGATGGTGGTGGTAGTATGACGATGGTGTGGTGGTGGTGGTGGTGGCGGCGACGGTGGTACGGTGGTGGCGGCGGCGGCGGTGGTATGGTGGTAGTGGTGGCGGCGACGGTGGTTGCGGTGGTATGGTGGTGGTAGTGGTGGTGGTGGTTGCGGTGGTATGGTGGTGGTGGTGGCGGTGGCGGCGGTGGTGTGGTGGTGGTGGCGGTGGTATGGTGGTGGTGGCGGTGGCGGCGGTGGTGTGGTAGTGGTGGCGGTGGTATGGTGGTGGTGGCGGCGGCGGTGGTATGACGGTAGTGGTGGCGGCGACGGTGGTTGCGGTGGTATGGTGGTGGTGGCGGCGGCGGTGGTTGCGGTGGTATGGTAGTGGTGGTGGCGGTGGTGTGGTGGTGGCGGCGGTGGTATGGTGGTGGTGGCGGCGGCGGTGGTATGACGGTAGTGGTGGCGGCGACGGTGGTTGCGGTGGTATGGTGGTGGTGGCGGCGGCGGTGGGTGCGATGGTATGGTGGTGGTGGGGGCGGTGGTATGGTGGTGATGGCGGCGACGGTGGTTGCGGTGGTAGTGGCGGCGACGGTAGTGGTGGCGACGGTGGTTGCGGTGGTATGGTGGTAGTGGTGGCGGCGGCGGTGGTGTGACAACGGTGGTATGGTGGTGGTGGTGGCGGTGGTATGGTGGAGATGGCGGCGACGGTGGTATGTTGGTAGTGGTGGTGGTGGTGGTATGGTGTTGATGATGTTGGTGTAAAAGTTGGAAAATGACTTCCCCCAAAAAAAAGGGGAAGTCATTTTCCATAAAATTGTCTTCCTTTTCCATTGACTTCCACCCCATTTTCCTTTAACCAGTCATTTTCCAATGTAACCAAACACCAAAACCCCGGAAAATGACTTCCAGAAGTCATTTTCCGGGTTTCCAAACACACCCTTAATGAAATTCTGCAATTCTTGAATTCACCTAGCTAGCTATCCCATGGATGCTTTTTGTTATTTTGTATATCAAAAACAAAAAGGAATATTCTTTTGTCCAGAATTAGCTGCAAAGTTGGTAATCCTTTTTTCAGTAATAAGAAATGCCATTTCTGGTAAAATGTCACTATTCATAATAAAGACTGAAATTCTAATGTATAGTACAGGAAATGGATTTATATATTGTTATTATTTTTGGGTGACTAGAGGGTAAACTCGGCCTTGTGACCCCATAAACCAGTTTAGGTTGTCCATAGTTGATCAGCTCAAACCAAGAAGGCCAATAAACCGCTCCTTTGCAGATAATGATTTGGGGCAGAGGAAGAATTGCTTAATCCCTATTCCTGAAAGTTCACTTTTAAGGACAAAGAATAATCCCAATTTTCTAATGCTATTAAGAATTTTTTTAAAAAAAGTTGTGCTAATGTTTCCAAATACTGCCTTTTCTATTTTGGGTTCTAACTTTGGTTTCTGTTATGAATAAAAGGAGTATAACGCTAAGATCGAATTCTATTGGGCTCCGTTGCTGGTTGAATCGAACTGTGATGATCCATCGTACCATCGCGTGGAGGACCGCATCGTGAGAGTAGACTCCATAGAGAAGCATGCAAGGCATTGGAAAGATGCAGACGTGCTCGTGTTTAATTCTTACATATGGTGGCGATGGCTGAAAATGAAGGTTCTGTGAGTGCATCTTTACAACTTTGAAGATTGCACTTTAATAATCTTCCAATTTGCCAAGGAACTATTGTCTTATTAGCTACCCATTTCTATATGAATATTATCAGGCGGGGATCATTTGAAAGCGCAAATGCAACTTACGAAGAATTGGGAATGCTGCATACCTTCGAATTGACTCTAAAGACGTGGTCAGATTGGCTCGATACTCATGTCAATCGCACCAAGACCAGAGCTTTCTTCGTCAGCATGTCGCCTACTCATAGCAGGTACAATTTAAAACTATGGTCATAGTTTTCATTCTTGAATGCAAATGAAGTCATATAATCATATCAGTATTCACGGCTATGTTTGGCAGAGCTTATAACTTATTTTAAACTACTAATAACTATAAGCTCTGTTTGGTAATGTTCCCAAAATAAGCTAGTAGCTTAAAATAAGAGTTTATTTTGAAACGCTACTTGAATCATTGAATGCAACTTATATAGAGGAGATAACGCACATTTTGTGTATAAAAGATACAATGACGTTAGCTTTTCATTCCCATTCACCATAGCCATCTTCTTGGTTTACCTTGCCTGCATATTGTTGAGCATATAATATATAAACGTAAATGTACAATCCAACTACCAGCTTAGACTTTTAGTTGAGATAGAGCAGATGCTTTAATTTGGTATCAGAGCTGATCCTCATGCTTCACACGTGAGAGGCGTGTTATCCAACTACCAGCTTAGGCTTTTTGGACAATCTGATTCCATTGATGACTTGAACATTGCAGGGCCGAAGAGTGGGGAGGGAGGAATGGTGAGAACTGCTATAACGAAACTGAGCCGATTTCGAATCCTGCATATTGGGGGATGGACTCAGATCCCGATATGATGAGATTGGTTGAAGCCGCGGTCCATAAACTGAGCAGGCGAGGCGTAAACATAGAAATGCTGAACATAACACAACTTTCCGAGTATCGGAAGGATGGCCATTCATCAATCTACAGAAAGCACTGGGATCCTCTCACCAAAGAAGAATTAGTGAACCCAGGTAGCTATGCTGATTGCCTACACTGGTGCCTTCCTGGAGTCCCTGATGTTTGGAATCAGCTTTTGTATGTATACCTTCTTTATTTGTGACTTGTCACGTACGTACAGCATATACAAAACAATTATACTTCACAAATTTTCTATTTTGGACCGTTCTGTTGAGAACAAATAGTTGATTCAATCATACAATTATATGTATCGCCACATTTGGTTTCTGAAGATGTAATTGTAACTTTATGAACTTGTAATAGTGACTTTATGAATTTATATACTTTACAAATCAGCAATATAGATTTTATGAATTTACAGTAATAAATTTATGTACATATTGATGTGCCTTTGTGAACTACGTAATTATTTATGCTCTTAAAGTAGTGACATTATGTATCTTTAGATTTATTAAAAGAATTGAAAAATATTAATAAGGTGATATTTAAAAGTTCTCAGTTAGAGTTATTTGATGATATATTTGTATTCATTAATTTTATTTGTACCAAAAAAGAGACAAATAAATTTAAGTTAAGAAATAAAAATTTTTAAGTCAATATATAAACCCTTTAATTAATGTGTTATAGGTCGAGGTGACCACGGTTCCGATTCAAACCGAAATCGTGACTGTACAAACCGGAATCGAACCGGAACCGTCCGTACGGTTTCGATTCCGATTCTTAATCGGAACCTATAAGATTTCGGTTAAAGTTTGTATAATCTTGGAACCGGAACCGCCTGTTCCGATTTGAAACCGGACGGTTCCGGTTACAAACCGTGAAATCCCAAAAAAAAAAATTAAAAATTAAAAACATGCGAAAGTGGCCAGTAAGCCACTCGCAAGTGGCCTACTGGGCCACTTTATTTTTTTTGTTTCAATATGAAACCATTGAAACCCAGTTGTTATATTATAGACCGTGGTGCATAATCACCGCGGCCCATATACGGCGCCGTTTCTTTAAGTAAAGAAACGGCCCGCCGTTAGAGTTAACGGAGTCCGTTTGTTTGGTGTATTAAACACCAACTGACACTACAGTATATCCAAACCGACACTGCAGTTATATCAAAATGATACTGTAGTTATAGTGAAATGAAACTGCAGTGTATATAAACTGAAACTGAATAACATTTCACATATTTGAGTGTATATTGTACAATGAAGCTGTAATTATATCAAAATGATCATGTAGTTGTGTTTTAATAAAACTATAGTGTATATAAAATAAAATTAAATAACATTTTCACATATTTGAGTCTATAAATATCGAATGAAACTATAGTTATATCGAAATGAAACTGTAGTTGTGTTCAACTGAAACTGCAGTGTATACAAAATGACACTGAATAACAGAGTTACTTTTTGCAAAAAGGTGCGAAACGGTGGAAATAAACACTGTTAATTTTCATTTAAAAAAAAAAAAAGAAGACGCGCGGTGCATAATCGATTATGCACCGCAGTGCATAATATAATTTGCCATTGAAACCTATTGAAACCAAAAAAATAAAGTGGCATTGAAACCAAAAAAATAAAGTGGCCCAGTAGGCCACTAGCGAGTGGCCTACTGGCCACTTTCTCCAGTTGGCCTGGCAAAGGCCAAGCCTTGGCCTTTGCGCCAGGCTTTGTTGGCGAGTAACAAATAGCATAACTAAAAAAAAAAAAAAAGAAATTTCGATTAGAACCAATCGGCAGTTCAAGAACCGAAATCGAAACCTTAATATAAGATTAATATAAGGTTTGGATTTCGGTTCGACCATTTTCGGAACCGGAACCGCAGTCATGCCTAGTTATAGGCAATGCATGTAATTCATTGTCAATTTTTTATTTTTTATTTTGTGGTTTTTTATTTAGATCAGGACCCATAAGGGCATAAATGTAATTTTGCTATTGTCTTCTTCCCAAACCCCTAAACCCCAGGCGGACGGATTCGTGTATAGCTGCTTGATCTGACTTTTTATCAGAGCTGGGAACGGTAAACCCTAAAAACTCCCTAAAACCCTAATCCATACCTCAGAAACCCTAATCAACAGTTCCAAGAATCGGAAGCCGATAGTGGAGAAGAAGCGGAAATGGGGAAACTGCCACCGTCAATGAGATCATCGGCCAGCTTCGCATTAACCAATCTGTTAAAAAACCCAGCTTCTTCCCAAAAGCCCCAAGTAATCCCGCAATCCTCCAAGAAGAAGAAGCCCCAAGCAATCCAGCAATTCCCCAAGAAAAACCCTCAACCGAGGTCTCAATCCCCACTCGTCACCTTTACATCCCCTAGTCTTTCGGAAGCCAAAACCCTCTTCACCTCTCTCATTTCCGATCCCAAGAAGGCCCCTTCGGACCTCAGGTTCTATAATTCAATCCTTCAATCCTTTTCTTCGGTTTCAACCCTCCAAGATGCAATCTTTTTCTTGAACCACATGGTCAAGACCCACCCACCTTTTTCCCCTGATAGGTCTACCTATCATGTTCTTCTTATCCAGGCCTGTAAATCATCGGATGAGTCTCTATCCCCTGTGTACCAGATACTCAATTTGATGAATACCAATGGCTTTCCCCCTAATATTGTCTCAACAGACATTTCTGTGCGGGCCCTTTGCATCTCTGGCCGTGAAGAGCATGCTATTGAGCTGGTGAAGGATCTTTGTCGTAAGGACTCACCTCCTGATTCACATGTTTATAATTTTCTTGTGAGGCATTTGTGCAAGAATAGGTCAGTTAGTACTATGAATGGTTTCGTTAGGGACATGAAGGAGGAATTCAGTATAAAGCCTGATCTTGTTACTTATACCATTATGATTGATAATGTTTGTAATAACAAGAATCTCCGGGAGGCGACCCGGTTGTTGGAAGTGTTGAGTGAGGAAGGGCATAAACCCGATTGCTATGTTTATAACACGATTATGAAAGGGTATTGTAGTTTGAGCACAGGGGGTGAAGTGTTGGACGTCTATAAGAAAATGTTGGATGAAGGTGTGAAACCTGACCTTGTTACCTATAATACATTGATTTATGGGTTGTCAAAGTCGGGTCGAGTTCAGCAAGCAAAGAAATTTTTGAGCGTTATGGCTGAAAATGGTCATTTTCCAGATGCAGTCACATATACTTCGTTGATGAATGGGATGTGTAGGGAGGGGGATGTCAAGGGAGCATTGTCTTTGTTGGAGGAGATGGAAGCAAAGGGATGTGAACCAAATTCTTGCACGTATAATACATTGCTTCACGGGCTATGTAAAGCAAGACTGTTGGAAAAGGGTGTTGAATTGTACGGTACGATGAAGAAGAGTAGCATGAAGCTTGACACCGGGGCTTATGGGACATTTGTTAGATCTCTCTGTAGGAATGGTAGAGTTGCAGAAGCTTATGAAGTGTTTGATTATGCAGTAGAGAGTAAGAGTTTGACAGATGTTGCTGCATACACCACACTCGAGAGTACTTTAAAGTGGCTCACAAAAGCTAGAGAACAAGGACTCGTCTGATCTATATATCTGGTATTTGTTTTCCCTCGAGAGTCTTCAATGTAATTTGTTGGTGCCTGTATTATGCCTAATGAAATATTCAATTAATCTATCGAAAGATTATGTTTGTTCTTTAGGCTTTCCAAATTGCTTTAAATTGTTAAGAAGGCAACCTTGAATCTTGAATACAAAAGTTATAAAGTCCTATAGACATGAACTAAGTCACATACTAGATTGCTCTAGTGGATTAGTTGCAGTGAGATGAAAAACGATACTAATCTTTTCTTTCTTAGAAGATATGATTATAAACGTCTACTTGCACCATAGAACATGCCATTCTGATAATCTGATTTAAATGTTCATTTCTTCTTGAGCACCCCTGTCAGAGGGAAATATATTCTGCATTCAATGTTTCCATTCACTGAATAACTCCATAGAGATAAGATTGTGACACTCTGGTTTCTGACACTCACCACCTCCACTATACTCCCATGTTCTATTAATGTTAATTTTCGGCGTTTATTCATGATTGGTGCCAACCTAACCATCTACTGCTTAAAAGACATTTTTTACTATAAACATCTGCTCCTTGATTCCTGCCCAGTTTTTGTGTGTCTGTGCAAAGAACTATGCTTTTTGGTGTATGAAGTAACTTCAGATTTTGATATCCTTTCTAGCAATGCACAACCCGACTTTTTCTTGTGTTCTGTGTTTTTTATGATTCCTACAAGTTGCCACTCACCTCCCTACCAAATGTTTGTTTATGCCTATTTTTTGTTGCTGAGATCAATTTCCAAGATATGGGATTATTCTTGAGTTATCTTGTCTGCCCAGAACACAAACTGTTGTCCACCTCAATCCAAATTCAATCAGATTTAAAAGTAATTCCCATTTGAAACCCTGTTCTCCAGCTAATAAATGATTCTTGCTCACTAGCCAATCCTAGTTGTTGCTAAATGCAACCCTTGGATTATATTCCTTTCATCCTCTTATGAAGAAAACCAAAAATAGCCCACATGAGCAGCTCAATTGGTTCAGTTGGTTTCTGGGTGGTAGATTATAGGTAAGGATACATGATCGTCGATCGAGCCCTGACAGTCGCAGGATGGAGTTACACACCCGATGTGGTAGACCTCTCCATTATCTTATCGGATTGAGGCAATGGAATTTCACCTTTTGTGGACAGGGCAAGAAAACCAAAAATAAAAAATTCAGAAGTCATGAAAATGAGGACTGGATACATTGGGTCCTGGTTCTATGTCTCAGACATAAATACAATGCCAGCCATTACTGTTGAAACATCACCTTTACCCATAAGGTGTTAAACTATTCATAGAATCTGCTACTTTTCTGGTAGAGGGAATCATGCAACCTATATTGTTGGGAGGTAAGAGGAGCATAAAACTCCAGAACCATGTGGTCAAATGTTTGAATTCAATATTACATTGATGACACATGCAAAAAGGAATGGCCCCATGGATAGTGCTATGCTATAAAATAGACTTTTATCACAATTGTTTCCATTCCCAAGTTTCACCTCAAAAACTCAGTATTCTCCACCAAGAAATGGAAGCCATATCTGCCTCCCATGGTCTGCAGTATCATGGCAGGTCTATAAGTTTGCCTTCAAGATTATACCCTACACCCGAAAACATTGAAGCTGAGCTCGACAAACTAAGAACATGGGAGACAACCTCGTCCTCTCCTCCGAGTTCAAAGTCCATACGAGCTGGTCTTCTCATGCTAGCAGAGCTATACGAGTCTCTTCAAGAACTAGTGCAGTCTCCGAGCACCCAACGAGCTCTTCTGCAACAAAACAGGGCGATAGTTGAAGAGGCTTTAGAGGGATCCCTTGTTTTTCTCGACTTCTGTGGGAACATCCAAGGGGTGATTCGCATGGTTAAGGATAAAGTTAAAGAACTCCAATCAGCTTTGAGAAGAAAGGGAGGAGATTCGAGCATCGAAGGTGACATAACTGATTTCTTGAGTTTCATAAAGCGAGTGAAGAAAGAGGCAACAAAGAGCCTGAGAAGGCTGAAGCAGATGGAGAATAGACCACCTGTCTTCCATGAAATCGATGTTTACTCATCAATGGTGATCAGGGTGATGAGAGAAGTGTCTGCAATTACCATCTCAGCCCTCCGGCCTGTCCTCGCTTTCCTCTCCTGCCCTTCTGTAAAGAACAATAAATCCAGTGGGTGGTCATTGATATCCAGGCTTGTGCTCAACAAATCAGCAGTCCCCAGCAGCGAAATGGTCGGGGGCAATCTGGGGAGTGTTGATGCTACTATTGCTTCTCTTCAAGGGATCATCAAGATTAATGGTGATTTACAAATGGCCAGGAAAAGATTGCAGAATTTTGATGCTGAAATTGAAGGTCTTGAAACTGGTTTAGATTGCTTGTATAGGCACTTGATCCAAAGTAGAGTCTCCCTTCTTAATATCCTCACTTGCTAGTATGTAAGAACAGATTATTGTACAGTCCAAACTTCCTGGGGCAACCTAATCAAAAGATTTTTGCCTTTCACTTTCAGGAACCCAATTTTGTAGCAGTATATATCAATTTCTGGTTAATGTTTAGCAATTTTGACATCATTGATTATCATTCCATAGAAAAAATTTGGAGGGTTAAAGGTGAGTTTAGTTTCTGGAAAAGTTTCCCATTTTTCTGCAATTAACACCTAAAATGCAACACATCCTTCATGAATGTAATTTGGCAATTTTTTTTTTTATTTTTTTTTCCAAAATATAATCTTAGTGGAATTTATTTCCCAAATATGGTACTTTCATTCTTGTCATGTTATTCATCTAAATAGGAGGTTTAAAAATATAACAAGTTAGAATTGAACCTTAATAATTTAATTAATTTATTAAGTCTCCAACCACTACACCACATTATCAATTAATTGACATATTTATTATTTTATTTAATATAAATACTTGGAAACTCTCTTCAAAATAATTTTTTTAAAAATTCTTTTAGTTCTAAAACACTTGAAAGTTCTTTCTTTCCAAAACATTATTATATTACTTGACATAAATAAATCAAAGTTTTTATTTATGTCAAGTAATAATTAATAAATAAATAAAATAATAATAATAATAATAATAATAATAATATTATTATTATTATTATTATTATTATTATTATTAATTGTAGAGAAAAGGGTCAAATAGGCCCTTAAACTTCACCTCAAAGGTCAATTAGCACCCTAAATTTTACAAAAGTGTAATTAAACCCTCAAACATGTCAAATTGGATCAATGAAGCCCATAAATTGATAAATGACATGTTATTACAGGTCATTTCAATTCCGGTGACAGATTCCGGCGGCGAGGAATTCCGGCTACCGGAGAAAAAATCCGATCACCGGCGAGAAAATCTGGACGGCCGCCTTCTCCAATGGAGAAGACGACCAGACGGCCGTCTTCTCCAATGGAGAAGACGGCCAGATCTGGTCGTTCTTCTCCATTGGAGAAGGCAGCCAGATTTGTCCAATGGAGAAGGCGGCCGTCCGGTCGTCTTCTCCGGTGGAAGACGACCAGATGTTTTCGCCGATGACCGGATTTTTTCGCCGGTTGCTGGTGACCAGAATCCGTTGCTGGAATTGAAATGATTTATCGGTTTTTGGGCTTCATTGACTCAATTTGACATGTTTGAGAGTTTAATTACACTTTTGTAAAGTTTAGGGGGCTAATTGACCTTTGGAGCAAAGTTTAATGGCTTATTTGACCCTTTTCTCTTAATTGTATTGAAGAAGAAGTTGTTGTTGTTTCTTTAAATATTTATTTTAGAACCGAAGGACTTCTATTTTATGAGAACATATTTTAGGAGATTTTCAATGTTAATGTTTATATTAAAATAAATATAGTAATATTAAAAAATAAATAGTGTGGTGTAGTGGTTGGAGATTTAATAAATTATTTGAGTGATCAAGATTCAATTTTAATTTATATATGAATAAAAAAACCTCTAATTATTATTATTATTATTATTAAAATATGATATAAAACAAAATTTATTGTCATACATAAAATTAGTAATGACAATGAGTAACGTATTTTGAGATACCTAACCCTCCAAACCCTAATATGATGGGTTCAAGCAGTGGCTAATCATATTCAGGCCAGGTAGCAATAGAATACTCGGTATCCAATATGTGTGTGTGTGTATATATATCCAAAAATTTAACGGACAGGTACCATATATGTTGCCATTCCTACGTAAAAGTATCTTATAATTATTTTGTTTGTGTCCCTGTGAGAACATTTGATACAATTAGAACGATACAAAGAAAATTAGCATGGTCACTGCACAAGGATAATTATTTTGTTTGTAACAGAATATGGAGAATAACATTAGGTTAGGAGGGATCTAACTAAATTGTAATCGAATCAAATGAATGATTGAAATCTGACTTTACATTTATAATATCTGGTTTTTTAATATTAAATATTAAAATACGTATATCAATTATTTGAAACCTCCTTAATTAATTAGCAACAATAATTGTTCAATTATGTAGACCGACAATTGCATAAGATAATATATTCAACATTCATTGGTAACATACAATCATACATGCAGTACATGGTCTTCATTCCTCAGTATTTGTTTTTCATCGTTTCGGTATATATTAATGTACACTGTGTAACAAACATCGTATGGGGTCAAGCATGATTCTTTTTAATTCTCTAGAAAGCTAACAAAAACATTAATTAACATTAAATTAGTGTAATCACATGATAATGACAGGATCATGTGGACATGGTGACCATTTCTGAAATAACATAGTTTTGTTTGTTCTAGGGTCTTGTCCAAAGATGTTCGATCACTAATTAAGTTGGTTTAATGCTCCTATCAACAACTTAATCAATGGGTATAATATAATTAATATTTAATTTGTTGTTGTTTTTCTTTTAAAAAAATTAATTTAGAAGAGATTCGCGCTACCTAATTTATATTTACGAGTTAATTTGTTGTTTATAATAAATGTATGGTATGCTTAGAAAGATGAAGATGTGAAATTTGAAGTTTTGGGTTAGTGTTATACTATTGATAAAGATGAATATATTTGCATTAGGTTAAAACTTATTAAACTTATTAAAATTACTAAACATTTAAAAAAAATATTTGATTCGATTAATTAACTTTTTGTAACAATTTATTGCATCAAAGAGTTTCTCAAAGCAGCTATCAGTTTTTTGAAAAAATCATTTTGTATGTAATCAGCTATTAAACTAATTAACCAAACATCTTTCTAGAATCAACTAATATAATCAATTAGTCAAACTCAAATAACCCAATCAGCTAACAACTATTTACCAAATTCCTAAAAACATTTTAAAAGGCATTGTTGTCTCCTTAAAGACCACAGATCAGATCCGCAACCAATAAAATTATGTCAATGGCAGCGGCTAATCTGCAAATGTTTCTTTCTTTTCCCTTCGCACAAATTCTTTTAATTTAATAAACATCTATGGCCTGCTTGCTTTCCCCAATTCGGCCGGCAACAACACACTGCCAGCTTTTCATGTCCGAATTCTCATCACTCTCCTTTCCGCTAATCATTGGAGCTGCCAACATATTCTCTGTGGTCTGTGGAGTAAACTTTATTATTAATAATGAAGAAAAATAATATATCACCTTACTCCCTGTGGAGTAAACTTTATTATTTTTTGAGAGTCTAAACTTGCTCAATATGGTCTATACTTGTACAAGTCAATTACTATTTGTAGTGTAATGATAATTTTGTTACTATTTTAAAAAATGTACTTATTAATTAATAACATACGAATTATATACTACAACGTCATATGATGAAGAATGATTTTGGTAAAAAAATTTGATTCTCCTAAATATAATTATGATATTCAACTACCATCAAATATAATCAATTAGATTAAACATCCACAAAGAAAGGAATTGAACAAATTAAACATTTTTCACACTGAAAAATATTGATCTAAGGTCGGGAATCTCTCTGTTGTAACGGGTAGGCTATATAGTTGATCCGATCCGCATGTAGCCTATTCTGTTACCACCAGATTGAAGAAATTGATATTGCCTGCTGTTAGCCAAGAATTCATGTCAGACACTGAATGAAAATCACATGCATTATTTTTATTTCTTTAATTTCCTCATCAATCCAACCACATATAAGTACGTACTACATTCTATCCATCATTTTCATTCGGAATTCAACACACTTCACATCAAACCTTTAACCCTTAAGACCAAAACACAAAGATTCAACAATGGCTGATGATTCCTCTGCAGCAAAACTTGGATTCCAGATTCATTCCAGATCCATTAGCTTGCCTTCCCGCCCAAAGCCTGATTCTTTCAACCTCAAAACCTTAGAATTTCCCTTTTCAGATTCTTTTAACTCAGAAAAAACCATTCAATCTAATGTTCTGCAACTTGCAGAACTATACAACATTGTACAATGTTGTCTCCTTGAATCAGAAAATGCAAGAAAAGCCAAGAACGGGGCGATAGTGGAAGAGGCACTCGAGGTTTCAGTCGGGTTGCTAGACTCGTGTGGCGCCATTAGAGAGCTATACTCTGCAATGAAGGAAAATTTACAAAACCTTCAATCCGGGCTGCGAAGAAAAGGCGAAGATGATGCAAGCGTTATTAGTACTTATCTTAGGTTGAGGAAGAAGGTTAAGAAGGAGGTGAGAAAGGGCATCCGGGCACTAAAACAAATGGAGAACAAAGAACAATCGTGTTTGCATGGAAAAAACAACATGGAAGACCATACTATAATGTTGAAAAGAGTGTGTGTGTTTAGTATATCTGTTCTTGGCTCCTTTTTATCCTACGTTGATGCTTCATCGTCTTCAAAGGCAAATAGCAGGCGTTGGACACCGTTGATCTCCAAGCTGATGACAGGATCATCAACGGCTGCTAGGGTAGACACAGAAATGTGCATGAATGAAGTGGAGTGTGTAGATTTTGCTCTGAAATCTCATATGAAGAGCAGAAAGTGTAAGGTTGATAGGAAAATGTTAGAGGGAGTTCATGGGAGGATTGAAGAGCTTGAGTCTGAGATTCATTCCCTTCAGAGACTATTGATTCAGCACAGAGTTGTCCTTCTTAACATTCTTACACCTTAAACTTAAAGATCAATGGAATATATATCTTTTGTTAATAACCATGCATATAGTTTCCACAAATTTTGTATTTAATCAGAATCTGTATACGTTACAAATCATTATTATTAAGTGTTTCATTTGGTTAATTTGATTTCACTCAAATTATTTACAATTCAAATATTATTTGTAATATTTAGTCTTAGTGTATAAAAATTATATATTAACTTGTAAAAGTCTAATTAAGCATTTTGCGTTATTAAGTGCATTAAAAACCCTGCCAGCTATAATTATTTTTACTTGTTCTTTACAGTAATTTGATGTTATGATGCAAAATTTATCACTACGTTAAAAGTAATAAACAGTAGCAGCAACACAATTTTATTACTTTATACTAACATATAAGTCAACGTCACGTTTTGATAACATTATACTAGACTCAACCCTTTTAAGTCTGACCAACATTTTTATTACTTATTTAGCCTAATTAACATCGTGTGCTAATTTCTGTAGAAGGTATTCACTCAAATATCCTAATACAATTGGTGGTTTCAATTGCATTACCAAGACTAACCATGCAACAGAAGGTAAGCTCTGGGCAGTCTATGTTGGTCTTAAATGGGCTTGGGCGGTAGGAAAGAAGAAATTACATGTTTTAAACGACTCTCAACAAGTGGTGGACCGACTCACTAAAGGCCCAGAGCCAATTGGTTCATGCACCAACATAGTAAAGATGTAGCAAGTGACTTGTGGTTCACTGGTATCCGGTCCCATCTCTTATGTGGGAGGTTTAGTGTTCGAGTCTCAGTGTAGGCGGATATTGTGTGACTCCGGACTACATGGCTAAAGTGTGACTGGATTGAATTTCATGCTCTCCAGAAAAGCATACGAGAAACGAGAAATTTTTGTCAAAGATACATGGCTAGAAAAAGTGTGACTTCATGCTCACTGAAAAAGCATAAGAGAAATTTTTGTCAAAGATAGAGTCAAAAAGATAGTCCTTAAGTTTTAATACAAAAAAAAAAAAAAAAAAAAAAAAAAAAAAAAAAACCTAATACAAATATACAATATACAATACATATTATATCAATACGTACGGGGTATATCTAACACAGCCAATACCATGCATGTTTAAGCTAAGGAAAGCATAATTAACGGGAACAGATCATTCAATTCGCATAATTAAAATTTTAAATAAGATTCAAACGTTATATTAAACATGGTTAGGAAGGGTACTAATGGCTGTACTGAGGAACATTATATCATGTTTATGTACGTACGGTCATGTGGGCACGAGCAGGGGTAGAAATACTGGGATTAAATTATAATACTAATCCAATGATAATGATACAGACATGGGAACAGGATGTCATTCTTGGAAACTACATCGCTAATTAATTGTATTAGTTTCATGTCTATAAATGTTTACTCATTGTCACTAATTATTGGTTAATCACAATTATTACAATATACATATATTTTATTATAATAAACCTTACCAATATAATTGGACATTGCATTCGGCGTTTCTGCCTCCCATTTGTGAAAATTTTAAACCAATTTCAACATGCCTTATTCATCTATCAAGTGTATGTAAAAATTGCATATAAAATTAAATTTGACAATTGAATTAAAAAAAAAATTGTTCTAAAGAATCTATAAATTACAAATAAAAATGTTAAACTAAAAGGCCTATGTGTAATTTTGTAAAGCCAATTAAGTACATTATATTAATGATTAACCTAGAAGCAAAGTCAACTAAATCTACAAATTAAAATTTAACAGGAATATAATGATAAAATATACTTCAAATGAGAACACGTATATGATAAGTGAGAAATATATATAAACCACTAATAATTCAAATTAGCCAACGTAATAAGGAAATAAATTTGGACACATGCATTATACATGCCTAAACTTCTAGAGGAAGATAGGATTGTATAGTTTTGAGATACATCAAGTCATTTTTAATATCTAAATTTATAAAATTTAACCTTTAAAAAAAAAAAAGAAAAATATTCATTGATAAAAAAAAAACTGTTAATCTCTATTCTCTCTTTATTTAATATATATAATCAGTTAACTAATTGATATTTTTACTCTCTTAAATAATTAAATTTAATTAATTGAGGTACGAATATACAATCCTATCTCAGCCTAGCTAGAGGTTGGTCCTTATCCATAGGTGCATTAAATGCAACATTTAATTTGAGTTAATTAATAATTTAATAAAGGTATAACAACACGTGTAATGTTAAGAATGAAGTCAAAACAGATATTTCTACAACAGTTTGCACTTGTAAAAATGATGACAATGGTGAAATAAGTAACATTTTGCATATTTGGCATTAATTGCACTTGTAAAAATGTAAAAATGCATTATATTTGGGGTTTCGATTTTACAATTTATTACTGAATTTTGGTTTTATTTAGTTTAGTAGTTTATTTTTTACTACTTAAGGTCTAGTATTTACGGTTTAAATTTAAAATTTAACCTTTTCGTTGATTTTATAAAATTTACTAGGTTTGCATATTTAAATGTTTTCCATAGTGAAGTTGATAACAATGACAAAATGGTCATTTCATAATTAAGGCTATATAAACTAACCAAAAACTCTACTCTTCTTAATTAGTTTTTTAAATTTTAACTTATTACCCCAATCAGCTAATGTAAAAATTATTTTACCAAATTTTTAAAGTAGCATATTGATCGATTAAAATTGATTTATCAGTTATGTTACTAGACATAATCAAAATTGTATTTAGGACAATCTCAACAAAATTAACATGTTGATTCAGTAACCTTATAGGTTTGAATCATACTTATTTGCCTTTTTAATTTGAACTAACAATATATGCAACTTAAGCTTATATGAATTCATTCCCCACACTATAGTGTAGAGGGTGAAGTTATTGGCCAAAAATTAATAGCTATAGAGAAGAGGATTGCGTGAGGAGGAGGATGCCGGCCATTTATTTATTCACTTCTTTCATATATACTTTAAATCAAAAAGTCTATAGTGTAGGGTGTGAAGTTATTGGTATAAATTACAGGTTAATTAGTTATACATTTATGCACTCAAAATAACACAGATCTATCAGATCAGATATTCAGATATAATAGAAATTAAGTAAGAGCCTTGATGGCTAAAAAGCACAATAGTAACCGACTCCGAATTGTTTTGTTCCTGCATGCATTTTGTACGTCATGGCTGCTCGCCGGAGCGCAGCCAAAAGCCTGCGCTTTTATATTTGGCGATTCTGTGGTGGACGTCGGAACTAACAATTACCTCCCCGGCGCTCTCGCCACGGCTAACCAACCCTGGTACGGCCTTGATTTTCCTAACAACACTGCAACCGGAAGGTTCAGCAATGCTTATAACCTTGTTGATTTCATCGGTACACCTTTATTTACACACCTATTTAATTTATTGTCTTTAATTTTTTGAGTGACTGAGACCCACTATCCAAAAGTGATCGAGTTTCAGTATTCTTAGTCTAGTCCATAAAGAATAACAAAGAAGTAAACCAGCTTAGGTTGTCCTAGTTAAAAATAGTCTAAAACCAAGAAAGTCAATAGACCTGACTCACTTGGGAATTGAAGTTATTATTACCAAGTCAATCGTCTAACCAACTTGACTGGATTGTTTTTAATTTGCAGTGAATTTGATGGGTATTCGTAGTGAAAGTCCTCCACCTTTCCTCAAATTAGTCCGAAATCAGGCGGACTTCCGGACCAAAATTCAGCAGGGTGTGAGCTTTGCGTCGGGTGGCGCTGGAATTTTGGACGACACTGGATTTAAAACATTTGTAACGTTTATTAATAATTTAAAATAAGCTATAAACTCTGTCAAACAGAACATATAGGTTCTTACATATATTATTACTCCGTATTATATATGCAGAAGCGCCTTATTCCACTCAGCCAAAAGTGTTAGCCGCAACCTGACACAGGCATTAGGTGCCGCTAAAGCTGCGGCTCTCATCAAAACATCACTATACCTCATAAGCATCGGAAGCAATGATCTCTCCGCCTACTTTAACTCCCCTCCGCCCAATACATCCCTAAACCAATTCATTCAAAAACTCGTCGCTGCCTATGCCAAAAGATTAAAGGTCAAATCCCCGCCTCGATCTCTATCTCTCCCATTTTATTACACACTGCTGAAAATTATTGAATTTCCGACCACCTGAAACTGATCTTAAATAAGTCGAAAGTCCTTGTTCCGACCACTTTTAGTATCCGGAAAAATTTTTGTTGCTATTTTCGACAACTTTTTACTTTCAACTTGATTTAAAATCACTTTCAGGTCGTCAAAAATTCCATAATTTTTAACAGTAACATCTGTTCTTCAAACCAACTCTTTCTTCTTTGTTTACTTACAGAGCTTATATGATGTGGGGGCAAGAAAGTTTGGTATAATCGGCATACCACCCATCGGAAGCTGGCCTATGACTCGCAGCATGAATGGTGGAGCTTGTAATGAAACAATGAATGAAGCAGCTCGAAGTTTCCAAGCTTCCACTCTCACCCTTCTCCAAAACTTTAGCTCAACAAACCCTGGAGTGCGTTACTCTCTTGGAGATTTTTACTCTATAACCATCTCTGCTATCAAAAATCCCAGTACATATGGTAAGCAACTAACCATCCTATATATGAATATATACCCGAGGATCAAATGAGAACAACTCCAGATGAGAACTTTGTCCATCTATCTTAAAATGAATAGATGATCAAAGACTGAAAATTAATGATTTTTAAAAATACGTGCATTTGAAAATACTTGACAGTTTGACAGTATGTTTGAGGATGACCAAAGGTATATATTAATATATATATAATATAATATAATATATTGGTGGTATGGTACGGTGCAGGTTTTAAGAATGTTGAAGATGCATGTTGTGGAGTGGGACCCAACAACGGAAGAAAGCCATGCCGCAAGCCATCATCTAACCTATGCCTTAAGCGTGATGAATATTTATATTTCGATTACGTTCATCCATCCCAAAAGGCTGCAAAGATAGCAGCGCAGTTTCTGGTCACCGGAGGGAACAATTTTGCTAGACCCATTCCTTTTGGGAAATTGGTTGATATTCAGTTCTAAAATTGTATTTTAGTATATGTCTCAGGTTTTCAAAAAAAAAAAAAAAAACGATCCGGACATAATATTTGCATACTCAAGTCAAGGCTATGGACGATAAGTTTAAATCAAACTAAAAGAATGATGTTTTAATAATTGAAATATATTATATTGTATTTGCTTAAGTTCATTTTGAAACACTTGTTAGTATATTAATTATACTAAGTACACTAATCTTTAACATATATATTTGAAATTTCTATCATTTTTTTTTTTTGTAAAGTACGTAATTGCTACTAATATTTTAAAAATAATCTAAAAATCATAAAAAGTTTATATATAACTGATTAATATGTCAAATATATGATCATTACATTCATATTCAACATTACAAAATTGTCAAAATCAAATACTTACTAGTTACTACTACAGTAAAAATTATTAGTTGGGGGGAATTAAAAGAAAATAATTTTTATTTTCAAAATAAGAACTTATTTTAAACGTTTTCCTATTTATTAATAATTTATATCTAATTTAAACTAAGTTATCAACTGTTTAAAAAAATTGATAACCAAACCTATGTAGGCGTCTGAAATTTTTTTTCTAACCCAAGCATCCATAATAAATTAGGATTATTCCTGCAAGTTTCAAAACAAAGTACTAGACGTACAACCTAGTATTCTGCTGCATCTTTACAATCAGTGTATGTATTGTTTATAGGCTATTACATAAAAGAGAGATTTTTACAATACGCACTCTAAAATAATAGTTGTAAGTTTTCCTTTTAACTTAAAAAAACGCATATAAAATTAATTTTGACACTTCAATTAAAATTAGTTCAAAAGAATGTATAAAATAAAAATAGAAATATTAAACTAAAAAGGCCTATATAAAGCTCTCACCAAAAAAAAAAAAAAAAAAGCCTATATAAAGCCGAGTATATTAAGCCAGAAGTCAACTAAATCTACGATATTTGACAAGAATGGTAAATGTACTTCAAATTAAAACATTGTAGGGGTAATAATATGTGTGGTTAGTCAACTTAATAAGGAAATAAAGTTGGGGCCAATATACAAGCCTAGAGGATGGCCCATAGCTCATTTGCTAACAAAAGTCATAATTGATTATCTGCAGGCATAGGGTGCATTAAATGCACTTAATTTGACATAATAATTTGATAAAGATATAACAATATGATATGTGTAATGTTAATTAAGAAAAAATACAACTTCGTTTGGTAAACAATAAATTAGATTTAAGTTTTTACGTTGTCCAATTCATGTACTGTAACTTTTTATCAACTCTAAAAAGTTTTGTGATAGATGGTAGCGATAGTCGTACCATGTTGCATTTTTCATTATGTGTCAACACTTTGTTGGGCCGTTTGGTCAGTATTGTCAATAGTATTTGCATGACCAACCTTAGGGCCCCACTCAAGGTTAAGGGTTTTAGGCCTCGCAGTCCTCCAAATCAATCATGGGATCAGAATGGACCTTTCTTACTTACTTTTGAGGGTTCATCTGTTCATCTCCGATCCATCTAGTCAATCGTTTATGGATGGGCAGAAATGACCATTGTCCAGGTATGGCCTTTTCAATATCTAGCTGAAGGACCATGACCATCAATTAGAAAAGAGAACTATAAAATTTTAAATAAACCTTTTAATATAAAAACAAGAAAAAAAATCAAATATATATATATCCATTGCATCTTGACAAATGACAACCATGGGCATGACAGGGATATTTTGTCCAAATATAGATGGAGAAGTCACGAAACGAAGCCCAACAAAGAAGTCATGGGCTTCATCATCTAGGTACAATCATTATGCTGTGCATGGTGCACACGGTTATAAAACGACGTCGTTTCATTACAAAAAAAAAAAATTGTTCGGATTGTTGTTAAAGCGTTAGGCGGTGAATTCCTTTCGTATTCAAACAGTAGGATATATCCATAATTTCATAACTATATATCATAATTATATAACTATATATCTAGAATTACATAAGTATATATTCATAATTTGACAACAGTACATTCAGAAATAATAAGTACACATTAATAATTTCATATCTATATATTCATAATTCACAACTAGACATTCATAATTACATAACTCCATATTCATAATTCTTAAAGTCCTTGTTCACAGAGAACTATATCCATAATTTCAAAACTATATATCCATAACTTCATAACTATTATTCAGACTTGCATAACTATATAATCATAATTATGCATCGATTAGAGTTTTTGTAAAAAAAAAAAAAAAAAAAAAAAATTATAACTATATATCCATAACTATATATTCAAACTTCCATAACTATATAATCATAATTATGCGTCGATTAGAGTTTTTGTAAAAAAAAAATTATTTGATTGGTGGAGTTAAACGGTGCCACTAATAACACCGTTACTCCATCATAATAAAACGGTGTCGTTTTGCAACTGTTTGCACAACATAATTTGCGATAAAGGTATGCACAAATTTTTTTTAAAAAAATCAAAATTTTAATTGTTATTTTTGTTTATTCACAAGGATATAAATCATTTTTAATTGTTATTTTTGTTTATTCACAAGGATATAAATCATTTTTAATTGCTCGTTTGATCTTAAAATTTTGTAAATAACAAATTAATTGTCTAAATAATTCGATTAAAGTTGTCCTCAACAACTCTTAGTTTCCAAATACTATAAGGTGTATATTGGATAAACACTGATTTGTAATCTTAATTGACAAAAGACACAAAGACATGAAAAAGAAAGAAAGAAAAAAAAAAAAGTGTATATACAAAGTTTGAACTGAAAAACACGTAGAGAAACTCCCACAAAAAATTTAACAATCAAACGCCGGCGGCCTATTCACCCATCACCGGAAAACAAACGGCTAGGAGATGCACCTGGTGGAGTACATGATCACAGGGGAGTCCACCGTAGACATACCGTACACCCTCGGATGATCATCACCCTCCAACCCATACCCAATCATCGGCCGGTACTCCAGACATTCGTCGTGATCGTACACAAACTCCGGCAACTCCACCTCCTTCCTCCTTACATGCTCCCACAGGTAATCCACCCTGCTCACATACTTTATCTTCCGTGAATTCCTCCGGCGAAGATGAATCGCCCGAACGTGGCCAGGAACAGCCTGGACTGGAGCCCCGGATGGACGAAGTACACGGCCTCGATATTCTCCCGGACGGCCACCGGGATCGAATCGTAGATCGCTCGGAGACCGGAAATCCCGGGGAAATTCTCGCTCTTCTCCACGCCGGCGTGCAGGTACAGCACGAGAAAGGCTGGTCCTCGATCTCCGGGAAAATATTCTTCTCTAGATACTTCGTCACGGTCAACGCTCACGCTCCTCGCTGATCAATCATCAAAAAAACGAATAAACTAAAGTCAAATTAATTAAACCCAGGAAAGGAAATTCCTATTAGCCAACGGCGATCGAAATTGATACCGACCTGGGAAATATTTTCCGGTGACTTGGAGGACTTTACGGCCGCATTTATCCCTTCCGGCGATCTTGAAAACTTGAAACTTGTGAAGTAGTTCCGTCTCCGAAATCATTATCTCTGTAGAGGAAAAGATCTAAACAAAGAAGCTTGAGATGAAGAGAGTAGATAAGAAAGCTTGATTGTTGAGAAATGGCGAGACGGAGATATTTGAGGAGCAGAGTGAGATGAGTGTCAGCGTGGCGGATGATGGAAGGAGTGGGGCCCAGGAGTGATGTGGGACCCTTATCCGAATGTCGGATACTCGGATAAGGATAAATGACGGAAATAATGATTGAGAAGATCGGAGAAAAAACGCCAGGAGTGGGGTCAGAGGAATATTCTGAGGGATCTTCGCTTTTGTAAGTTGTTAGTTGAACAGTTAGGTTTTGTTCTTATCTGACCGCGGCCCCACTCTCATCCATGTTGGATTTCCAGAGAGGGTAATGGGCTGTTAATTATTGGGCTGCATTCATTTACAAGCCCGTTATGGAATTTTTCCTTACATGCTCCCACAGGTAATCCACCCTGCTCACATACTTTATCTTCCCGTGAATTCCTCCGGCGAAGATGAATCGCCCGAACGTGGCCAGGAACAGCCTGGACTGGAGCCCCGGATGGACGAAGTACACGGCCTCGATATTCTCCCGGACGGCCACCGGGATCGAATCGTAGATCGCTCGGAGACCGGAAATCCCGGGGAAATTCTCGCTCTTCTCCACGCCGGCGTGCAGGTACAGCACCGAGAAAGGCTGGTCCTCGATCTCCGGGAAAATATTCTTCTCTAGATACTTCGTCACGGCGTCAACGCTCACGCTCCTCGCTGATCAATCATCAAAAAAACGAATAAACTAAAGTCAAATTAATTAAACCCAGGAAAGGAAATTCCTATTAGCCAACGGCGATCGAAATTGATACCGACCTGGGAAATATTTTCCGGTGACTTGGAGGACTTTACGGCCGCATTTATCCCTTCCGGCGATCTTGAAAACTTGAAACTTGTGAAGTAGTTCCGTCTCCGAAATCATTATCTCTGTAGAGGAAAAGATCTAAACAAAGAAGCTTGAGATGAAGAGAGTAGATAAGAAAGCTTGATTGTTGAGAAATGGCGAGACGGAGATATTTGAGGAGCAGAGTGAGATGAGTGTCAGCGTGGCGGATGATGGAAGGAGTGGGGCCCAGGAGTGATGTGGGACCCTTATCCGAATGTCGGATACTCGGATAAGGATAAATGACGGAAATAATGATTGAGAAGATCGGAGAAAACGCCAGGAGTGGGGTCAGAGGAATATTCTGAGGGATCTTCGCTTTTGTAAGTTGTTAGTTGAACAGTTAGGTTTTGTTCTTATCTGACCGGGCCCCACTCTCATCCATGTTGGATTTCCAGAGAGGGTAATGGGCTGTTAATATTGGGCTGCATTCATTTACAAGCCCGTTATGGAATTTTTATTTTTATTTTGATAAAAATAATCATTATGGAATCTCAATGATTCCGTAAGTACGACAAATACAGTGTACAAGAAATCTGTTTACTTTGAATATAATTCTTACAATATCGTTGTTGAGTTTTGAACTTGAATCTATTCTTGCAAAGAGTATACTCGATAGAGTAGTAGCATGTCTAAGACAAAATACTGATTAAAACACGAAGAAAAGGGGATTCAATGGTTGAAAATAGTTCAAGTATAATCTTTGTAGAGGGGGGCTGAATAAATGGCACTTTTTAAGCAAGATTATTTAGAGAATTTTATTATGATTGGATAACGTCATTTGGTCCTTGTTGTAAAGTCATCTTTAAGAATTATAAATAACTATTTGTGGCTGAAAAATATATTGAAACTAATTACAGAATTGGTTAACAAAATTAGTGTCCACTAGCCTAGTTTCGACGACATGTGGGCATATGGCTAATATAAATGCGGTTGGTGGCCTGGTGGGTTGTTAGGTTATTAGGTGCAAATTAAATTATGGATCTGGTCTACTTTGCATTGTGAACCTTGGTCAAAAAATAATATTTAGATTTTGTATATGTAATTGATACATTCTGTACTTACATTGAACCGTTTTTGTACTTTAAACAAATCGAAAGCACGTAGTAATAATTATAGATACATAACATGATAAATACAGACACATAAACATTTAACTGCAAGTACAGAATATATTATGTGCCTGTAATTAATAACTTCTGTGTCTGTAGCTATCATATTTTGTGTAATTAATAACTTCTGTGTCTGTAGCTATCATATTTTGTGTCGTGTATGTAATTATCATGGTATGTGATTTCAATTTGTTTACAAATACAGAAATTGTTAACTTTAATTACATAATATATGTTAACTAAAGACACATAATTTTTGAATTAGAGTTCACAATACAATATTAACAATGGTTCATGGTATAACAATTTGTTATTAGGTCTTATTTAAATCAAAGTATTTAAAATACAAAGTATACTTTCTCTTTCGAGAATGCATCGTAGCAATATTTATACGCATTTATTTTTGTTTTTTGGGGGAAAATTAGAATCTAGTACTGGGACAAAATGACAAATAGCTGACTCTGAAGATTAACACACACCACTACCCATCCTCCAATCCACCCTCTCCGTCTCTAATTAAGAATAGCTTAAAACAAGTATACAAAGTGGTGAACTACTTTACATGGGAAAGTGAAAAAAACAGGGAATTCCCTCATTGACTATAGGAATACAGAGCAAATCGCAACGTTAGTTCCATGAATAAAGGTCAGTTTGCTACACTAGATGCATCATATTTGAATCCCGACACCTTAGCCAGCTCAGAAAGCTCCTGATCTCCATTTAGAACCTGCAAGAAAATATCACTTGCATAAACCAAACATCTGAAAAATTCGATGCGCCTCAAACCCGAAGTTGAAAAAAATGCAATCTCAAAAAGGGTGAATGGCTACGGGCTACTAAAAATGTCTTTGGGGTTAGCATAGCATCTAGACAATTATGAAAAGATTTCCTTTACAGGAGTGCTTTGGACAAGAGCAGTAATTTCGGATGAGAGATCAAAATCAGAAAGGAAATTTGAAAAATATAACAAAGGGATAAAAAGAAATAACAATCCACTGTGTAAGAATTGTATGGCAAAAGGGGGAGCTTGTTCACCTGTCCATTGATCACCCACATTGGGAACCCTTCGATCTTAACAAGGGCACATTCCAAAGCCATATTAGTTCCTTTCTTGAACCCATTAGGAAAGCATTCCACATAGTTCAATAGCTCTGCTGCTTCTTGCCCAAACATCTATATAGTAAAGGATGCAACAATAGGTGAATTCAGTATGCAGTGAAGCTTTATTAAGCAAGTAAACAGAGTATATGAGAATTTTAGCAGAGGCATCTCTTTTCTAAAAATTTCATCATCTACACAAGAGTAGCATTAGTCTTTAGAAGAATTTCGTGAACTTTGCTTATATTAACAATTTTTGCTATTTTGAAAAGCATTCCTCTATAGTCTAAAGTATATTCAAGAGCTAATGGCAAGGATCCAACCCATTAAAGATCCTCTCTACTATTCAAATCTATACTTAATTACAGATTTACAGACACAAATTGAAGAATATTCAAGTTAGTGCAGGAAAATCAATTCATGGGTGTAATTGATGTTCATGAACAATAAGCTGGTCAACAAAAAGATTGATTAATGATTTAATGATGTTCAAGATGTTTCCAAAGGTGGAAAAACACACCTCTAAATTGCAACTGTCTGAATAAAATAGGGGAAACTTATTTTAGGGAAATAACATTTTAGTCTCTCAATTATAAGGGTAAACTAAACCCAGTCCCTTAGTTGTTAGCGCCTCCACTTTTGATTCCCAAGTTGAAACTAAAGTGGTGCTTCTGGTTCCCTAGACGATTAATATTTAACAGAGTTAAAGTGAAGAGACAACATCAGTGGCGAGTAGAAGATTACGTTTTCACTGAGCTTCTTTGATACCTGGATCAAAAGAAGAGGCTCTAAATTGAAGGAAAGGAATGAATCCAATATACCCCCATAACTGAGAACTGAAGGATGTCTTCCTGTCTCAACTAAAAGCCAAAGTTGATAGTTGGACTGCACATTTATATTTATATATTATATATATGCTCAGCATGCCTCCTCAAGTGTGCAAGCTGGTTACTTTTTGACGGGCTCCATAGTCTCTTTTTTATCGAGTGACGCAGAGATGACAATATGACACCAAATTGTAAGATGTGTTTCATCTCAACTAAAAGCCTAAATTGATGGTTAGACTACACAGTTATGTTTATATATTATATGCTCAACACTGAGGAATCAAAGGTGATATTTTATCATTATTTTACAGAAAAAAAAAAAACAAAAAACAAAAAAAAAAAGAAGAAGAAGAAGAAGAAGAAGTAAAGAAGATATTAGAGTGAAGGATAGAAGAATATGACTGCCTTCCTCTGGAAGTCAGAAATAAAACAAATATACTAAAAAGAGAAGATTTTAAGTTCAAATAAATTTTTCGTTCAAGAAACATTTGAATGCCAGGGAACTGTTTACTTTCACTTTAATTGTCAAGAAACAATGAAAACTCCCTTATCTGTGTTTGATAAACTATCTAAACAGCAAGACCAACTTGCAATACAAGACAAAAGTCAAAGTTTGGCTCAGTTGTTATTTCAAACTCAAGTGCATGGAAAAGCATGTTCAAAGTTTCATATGTTTTATACTTTAGCTTGACGGAAGTACTTTTGCCAGTCTCAAGCTATTGAGACCACCAAGAACAGAAGTTGAGTGTTCATTAGTCAGTAGTCACAAAAGCAAGAAGAAATCAAGTTTCAAGAATAACTCAACTCTATTTATGTATTACTGCCTTCATATCTATTATAATTAGGTTTTATATGGTTCCATTACTCATTTCATTATTAACTATGCACAGCGGTTAAAATGAATATTTACCTGCTTCTGATATTGACAATGTGAACACCAAAAAGCCCCATACATTTTTGCTCCTATTGAACTTAGATGCTTGGCTAAAGAAATAGCATAAGGAGTTGAATGTGTTGTGATCTCAGTAGCAAAGTATGGCAGCTCAGTCACCTCAGAACTGTTTAAAAAAAAAAATAGAAAATGGATTTAATAGACACTTAAACCTTATGCAACAAAGTTGTGAATACCCAGCAAGTTTTAACTGATATTTCATGGAATCTATTAAATCCAATAGCAATTGACATGTTAAAATTGGAATTGAAGACCGATGGCCACAGTGCAACACTGCAACCATAGTCACCCCAACTAGCATCTGAGTTAATTTAAAAAGATGTTAGATTTAAAGGAGGAGATAGTACTGAACACTTTCTGCACTATCATCCCATCTCACCAAGCTCATGCCTTGGATGGATAATGTAACAAAAAAGGAACATGAACACTGAGTTCAAGGATTAAAACAAACAAAATCATCTTTCCTAATTTGTCCTTGTGTAAACATTTCACAAAAGGTTATCCTACATTGTCATAAGGCCTACCAACCTTGTGGGCTGAGAAGCATTATATGAATTGGTTAAGGCAGCAACCACCAAGAGCACTACAGATAGCTGTAAAACCAGTTCTTTTTTTACCTCCTCTAATCCCAAACCCTGTAACATAAGCCCAAAGTCCTTCTCAGAGATGTAGCACAGAGCAGTTAATCAAATAAACCATAATATTCATGTTAAGAATAGGACCTTTACAGTAGTGAAGAACAAACTGAAGGATAAGACAGCAGATATTAAACAATATAAACACCACTCCCCGGGGAATCTCGTACTTAGGATGTACAAAAAGTATGCACTCGCAGCAGCCATAGAAGTAGTTGTGCCAAGTAAAACAAATCGCCCGCTAGCCTCTTCAATTTCAAGTGGCAACTGTTTTCTGCCTAATTGCAGCCCAAGTGCTGCAACTACTCCATATGCAACCATACCAATCAATGGAAGCGGAACTCCTGCCACATCAGAGGGATGAACACTGAAGTTCATTTACTAATATATTCTCTAGCAGTATTGAATAACATAATATCTTTTCCATTTGGAGATTACAGAGTATGAAGCGGCACAAGTTCACTAGGGGCACTGGGGCAGATCATTCACGAAATGAGAACAGAAATTAAGAGTAGCAATACTGAAGGAAATAAAAATATCATAGGTCACATCGATATGCATCAAGAACTTCAAGAGATTACCAAAAACAACTGAATAGCTGCTGTTAAGGATGTCGCCGCAGCTGCCACCACCAACGGGGCAAAAGGCATCAGACTCCGTGAGTTTGAGGTACGTCAAGTACGAAGTTTCCAGGAATCCGATGCCTCCCAGGGCTGCACACCAATTGTATGCTGAAATGCTCGAACCACTGCTAGTAGAAGGAGACGACAACTCCTCCGTCTTGGATTCTTTCTCCGCGTCTGTAACTTGCTCCGACGAGCAGTGCACTCGAAGCATCAGCAATTGCCGATCGCGACCGCTCTTCATCAAGCAACAAAAAAAAAACGTTAATACTTTTTACAAGCCAGTATATAACCGGGTGCGCGTTTGGAGGGGTACCTTGAGTTGTAAGGGAATAGATAGTGAATTGGAACGAGAGGAGAAGAGAAGAGATGAGTGGTTGAATAGTGGGGAAGACGAGACGCCGATGAGACTCGCCATCAGCTCCTCCGTCGAGCGGTGGCGGGGGTGGTTTGACTAGATTTATTGGCGGTGGAAGAGCGGAATTTGACTGATTTGTTGAAAGATTTATTTTTGGAGTTTTGGTTTAGTAACCACTCACAACTGTAGGCGTGTGACATTGTGATTTTTTAAATTATTACTCCGTATTTAATTAAACGTCCTATAATTTGGTGTTTTATTAATTACATTTATTAATTGTCATAATATAATATGTGAAAGTGATATTCTTTTATTTTTTTTAATACAACTCATACTTTTTTTTGGGTATACCCAAAGTTTTCACTGTCCTGAAAATTTAAAATTGCTCCATTTTCATTTTTGGTTAAGTATAAATGAGTCTCTTCCACTCAACCACACCCACATGTTTGAATATTACTGACTCTATCACAATTTAATATCTGTCAATATTGCCTCCACTAAGAGAGACTTGAACTAACAACCTCTCTTATGAGGAAGCAAATGTCATTGAACCACAAGATCCTTAGACAAAAAAATAATTTTTTTTAACTAATTACAAAATAATATATGTTATGTATTATATAAAAAAAAATTAACTCAAAAATCTATGCTTTCATCATGTTTAATAAAGTGATTATTAATTTAGAATGATAACACACGTGTTATTATGGTACATAATAGTTGGTATGTTAAAGTAATACGTATTCTTAAATTCATGAATATGAGATTCTTAAAATTAATTTATAAAATGTTTTCAAAAAATTAATTTATAAAAGATTTTTCCAAATTAGTAAATTATGTGGCATTTTTAAAATCATCACATAACATTAAAATATTACTTTTTTTTGAATGATACTGACTCCAGTACATGTCATCTGAGCACAAGGTGCTTGGCCACATTAAAATATTACTTAAATTAAATGTCATCATAATATTTTAGATTCATAATTCCTATACTATAAATTCATAATTTCTATACTATAAATTCATAATTTTTATACTGTAGATTCATAATTTCTAAACTATGGATTCATAATTTCTAAACTGTATAGTTATCAAATTATGAACATATAGTTAAATGATTTGTGAATACAGAGTTCAACAATTGGGAATATGAACATAGAATTTTTTTAATTATGAATATAGAGTTCAATAATTATAAATCTATAGTATAAAAATTATGAATCTATATGGTGCACACGGTTGCATAGCATAATTTACCGACAGTGCAATGTGGACCCTGGTCCACAATATAACGATTGGGCTTCCATGATGAGGTCAGTCAAGGCCGCATAGTTGGATCAGCCCAAACTTGTTCAAATGACTCCGTTTCAGGAAAAAAAAAAAAAAAAAAAAAAAAATTGGTTCATCAAAGTTGTTATAGCATTGAGGCATCTGAAAGATGCGAAGACACAGTTAAATACTTGGCAATTCACCAAGGTTTGTTAAGTGTTATGTTCGTTAAACATGCATGTATAAATAACTTGCACTTTGTAATGTTTAGACAACTCATTGGGCACTTAATCTTGTACTAAACTAAGACAAAAGTTAAAAAGCTTCAATTCTTTGCTCCATGCATTCATCATACTTTCATGTCTTATTATTCTTAATTTTCTTAATTATTTGATATTTGCTCACATTAATACCATAAAAATAAAGAAAAATTAAAACAAAATATCTTGTACTTTAAATCATAACTATATATAAGTTTACCCAAATAATAATAATAATAATGTAAACCACACAAATATGCAATGAAGGGCAGCCTCATGGCCTCAAGAAAAATCTAGATATCAAAGACCAATAATTCCCGTACGAGAAGATAGATTTAACATTAAACGTACGTCACAAACAAATATTTTTAGCTTAGTTTTTAGGTGAGAACCAACTACATAAGAGAGAATTGACTCACTAAGAATCAATTACTGAAGAGATAATTAAGAACCAATCATAGTCGTTTACGTTTTCAGATTTAACGAAAAAAAATACTATTTAAAAAAAAAACATGGTGATATTTTCGTAAATAATTGAACTTTGAATTACAAACAAATTATGTTAAAAGTACAAGTAATAGTTTCATATAATGCAAATAAAAAAAGTTTAAAAAATTATATACATGACTAAATTTAAGGAAAACGTAAATATAATAGTGCATAATGAGCCAAGTACTTTATTGTTATCATTACAAATGAAAGTTCATAAGTTTAAGTCGCATCATTCTTTGACATATATTAATTAGACAAGTTTTTATAGATAAAATTAGATTGTAAATAAAAAAAAAAAAAAAAAAGTGCATGAGTGCATATATATTTACCAATTATTACATAGAAAAGCGTGCTTGTGGATATGAATTGGTGATAACATGATATGGTGATGAGTCACCAGCCACGCAAGAATTCAACCTCCAATACACCTTCATTTCCTATTTTGGATCATATATGATATTACCAAAAATCCATTAATCACTCTTTGCGTGTCATCCTATCCAAAACCCAGAGAGTTCGCAACCATTACGCTCGTCTCTATCCATAACCATAAATATCCCCCCTCCAACACCCATTTCATCTCTCCCGGCCACACATTACACAAAACGATCTCTTCCTTCATAAGCGACACACATATTGCATCAGTCACACTAGTCTTAGAAACACCACAACAAAGTACAACGTAACTCCATAGTTCACTCATCGTATTCATCTCAGCAATGATGAAGGCTCTCTCCCTTCCCTCCTCCACCTCCTCACTCCCTGATCAAACAATCATATCAAACTCCACTCGCAGGTACGTACATATATACGATGTTTTCACAGAAATTATGGGTAGGTCTCATGGTGTCTGTTGAGGCTTCAACTAATATGCATGAAGCTTATATATGCACAGATGTAGAGTGGTGCCGATGATGGTGAGATCTCAATTTCGGGTTCCCCATAGAAGAAACTTGGGTGGTACCTACAAAACTCCCAACTTCAGGTATACTCGAGTTTAAAGATTGTTTGGATGATTCACGATTTACTTTATTCAGTTATTTCTGAACGGGGGTTCTAAGGTTTAAGATTAGTCGTTATTCAAACATTATATTATTATATTGCAGTTGGATGGCAGCAGTTGGAGAGAAGGTGCAGTCCACAACTATGCCAGCTTCTGTGCCGGTCCGAGTGGCACATGAGCTTCTCCAGGCTGGCCATCGTTACTTAGATGTCAGGTGCTTCAATTCATTAATTTCTGCTAATAATTATTAATCCATTTTCAAGATTATTAACTACTTTTTTATATGATAATTAAGTGGTTGTGTATATGTGTGTAGGACTCCCGAAGAGTTTATGGCTGGTCATGCTGCCGGGGCCATAAACATTCCTTACATGTTCAAAGTTGGATCAGGTTTAATTTATACACTAATATATAGTTTATTATATATTATTATAAGTTGGGTCTATTTAATTAAGAAGTAATATAATTAATCTTACTTTGGGTAATTCCTACCTATAACTATGGTTACAGGCATGTCAAAGAACCCCAGGTTTTTAGAGGAAGTGCTGGAACATTTTGGAAAGGACGATGAAATTATTGTTGTAAGTGTTGCCCGCTTTGTTAGGTAGAACTTATTTTAAATTTTATATATACGGAATCAGGTATAAAAATTATATTATATTGGCACAAGTATAGTAGTAAATAATTTACCAAGACTATGTGTCTAATGATATTCGGGTTGGACTTTTATTTAGAAAGTTGTGAGTTCGAACCTTAGCAGAGGCGTTATTGGCTCATACTACATTGTAATAGAGCTAGTAAAAAAAAAATAGTAATAAATAATTTGGTATGAATTTCACTTTCAGGGGTGCCAATTAGGCAAGAGATCACTCATGGCTGCAATTGATCTTGTTTCTGCAGTAAGTCTTTTGAATCAAATTATTTACTCTCCCCAATTAATGAGGTGATTAAGATTCAAAATAACTGATTAATTAACAATTGCAGGGTTTTACTGGAATCACTGACATAGCAGGTGGATATGCTGCCTGGACACAAACTGGGCTTCCGACACAATCATCAACAGATTAAAATGAACCATTTTATCTCAATCTCTTCCCCTAATCATCAATCTAATAATAAACCTACTGTAAATACAAGCTAAATATGGCTACAGTTTGTTGAAGAAAAAGAGTTGGCTCTGTAAATTTTCTTTTTTTAACTGTCAAGTGGCTGGATGAAATAGTTTATATATTCAGCTTGCCTGGTTTTACTTTGCTTTCAAGTTGGGTAAATGGGCATGGTTGCACTTATTGGCATATGCCCATGTCTTCAAATAACATTATTCAAGTTATATGTATTATGGTTGTACCAAGTGTCAAGATATGTATACTCCATCAAATTATTATTAAATAAGAGAATTATTAATTTTAATTCAATCTTCTAATGATAAAATATCATAAAAGATTAATGTATTAGATATTTTTATTAGTTTTATCTGATTGATCGAGAAATTTTGCACTTAAACAAAAAAAAATTGAAAAATAAAAATGCAATATAAAGCTTATGGGTTAGTTAAGTTCATTCGATTAATCATTTAAAAATTTTAAACTTTATTCTAATGTAATAAGTAGATCAGTAATATGGAGATTCTAATCTTGATAAAACACGACTTATGATTTATCTCTTTCAATGACTCTTAGTGAAGATTTTAAAGTTTAAAACAAGTCTAATGTAACTAACAAATGGAATTTAGATGTATATATGCTTCCAATTCACACATCCTAGAAATCATCCCACCACGTTCTCTGCGGCATTTCAACAAACATGTCAGGACCTTATTCTGCTTATATACATACAACAACTCCCTTGTGCATATGACTACGCCAAAATCAATCTAATAGGCGCCATTGTTGATCGATCTGCGAGCTGAGAATGAGGCTGCCTCGAAATAACTGGTTCGCCATTGTCCGGCGAAAATTCCGCCGCTCGCCACCATGTCATGAGAGCGTAACCATACTTCGTAACAACGCCTCCGGCGGGAGCTTCAGCCAAGCCAGCAGCGCCGCCGCTAGTTATTCTCAATTTCTGTCCAAGGAAGACATGGCCGCCATCACCATTCAAGCTCATTTTAGATCTCATCTCGTACTAGCTCGCTCTATGCTTTACCTATAGCTTAATTAATCTGTTATTGAAGTTATTTTGCTAACGAGCTGTGTTTTCGGTTTTTGTGGTTGGTGCGGATTGATGAAGGCAAGGCGGGCGTTTCGGGCTCTGCGAAGCCTGGTGAAGCTGCAGGCGGTGGCGCGTGGAGTGTGCGTGAGAAGACAGGCGCGTATCGCTCTGCATTGCATGCACGCACTCGCGCGGTTGCAGGTCACTGTTCGAGCTCGCCAGCTCCTCACAAGCTGCGAATTGAAGAAGGCTCACGAATCATGATCTCAAAGGATAACTCATGATCTAAGAGCAACGTGGGGAAGACGATGGTTGTTGGGGGTTCGCTTATTTAGGCTGGAGTTATTCATTTTATTGAATTTGACTTGTTTTATGTATCCTATATTATTCATTCTTATTGTTACTATAATGAATTTATGGTGTTTATAAAATAAAATTGAATAACAAATCTCATACAGATATGTCTAACATTAAAGAAATGTGTTTTGAAATTAAAATGACATTTTAGTGTTGTTTTAACTTATAATGAGCCTATAAAGTAAAAAGTAATTTTACATTTGTTTTTTAAAATCATTTGTTTTTTTACTTTATAAAGAATTATTTTTCAACATTTAATTATAACACTAGTTAATTAATCAAGTTATAAGCTAAGTAGTGAATAAAATATTGAGATGAAAGATGAGAGCAAATTTTGCTTGAAAGCTCTGATGTAAATGTGAAAAATGACAGTGAGAAATGAATGGGATGACAGGCTAAGCTGAAATACATTTGCTATTTGGAGAAAAAGACATAACTGCACACGTTAAGCATTAACTATCTCTATTTATTAGGACTGCCCAACCAGCAAGCTACTTTTTTTTTTCTTTTTTCTTTTTTTAAAAAATAACCAGCAAGCTACTTATTAATAAAAAAAAAATTGTATTATCAAACTTTATATTATTTGTCTTTTTAACAAATATCCCATAAATATTAAACTCCAGTAACAGATTTTTCTATATATGATATAAAAAAAATAGGGAAAATGGCACTTTTTCCCCCTATGTTATATACTTATAGCATTTTTTCCCCCTCAATTATTTAAGTGGCTCTTTTTTCCCCTGAAATGTTAAATGGACATATTTACCCTTAAAATAAATATTTCATTTATTTTTATTCTCCAATAAATTATTACTATAATTTGGTTCAAACCAGATACTATAGTAACCAAACCAAAATATTCCAATTACAATTTATAATCAAAACGCGATATTTAGAGTTTATTAAAATCGCGAACTGGAATGGCCGGTTCATGTTCCGAACTGAAAAAATAAAATACATTTATTGTTGAATTTAAACTATTTTAAAATAAAAAACAAAATTTTAAAATATAGACAGTTCAAAATCGCGAACGGGATCCGGAACCGCCGGTTCATGATCCAATTTTTTTTTATTCTTAAATTTAATAAATTGAAATCCAAATATTGGGTTCTAGATCTGAATCATAACTGAAAACTTTTAATTCGATTGCTATAGTGTCTGGTTCAATTCGAACCGAACCGTGGTAATAGCTACATATACGCAATAATTTGTTGGAGAAGTAAAATAAATAAAATGTTTACTTTAAGGGTAGAAATGTCAATTTAATATATTAGGGGGGAAAACCACCACTTTTAAAATAATTGAGGGGGCTAATGTGCTTACATAAATAATTGAGGGGGAAAAAGTGCTATAAGTATATAACATAGGGGGAAAAAGTGCCATTTTCCCAAAAAAATAAGAACTCTCATTTTCTAGCAAACTAAAATGTACAACTGAATATAATTATGTTCTATTTAACCTTGTGGTCTAGTGCCTCTCCCAAATGGGAGGTCATGAGCCCCAATGGAATAATATTGACTTTTGTGTTTCAGTAGGTCGAGAAAGTAGTTATGAACAGATACTATAACAGAGTCAGTAGTACTCAAAAAAATGTTAGGAAAATAAATCATTTTTAAAACATGGACAAAAATAAGCAAAACTATTTTAAGAAATGTGGGCATTTCAGTCAAATTTTTCTCTATTTCACGGGAAAAAATACTAATAAAAAGTATTTAATTTGTAATAGAGTCAATAGTACAAAAAAATTTGTTGATAAGAGAAATTCAATTGTAACCTACTTACTAAAGTAATTTTTTTTTTAAAAATTAAAATTATCTATCTCCATCCATCTGGGTTTATTTTTGTCTTTTTCCGAAAGACTCTCTGTCTCAATCACACTGCATAATAGTTGACGGTTTACTTTTGTCTATTCCAAAAAAGAAAAAAAAAAATGGTACATCTAAGGAGAATGAGCTACACTTGACAAAGAGCAAACCATACAAATCTACAGTAGTATTATGAAAGCAGTAAAAGAGTCGAGTTTCCAGCCAACTTCCATGGGAAAGAAAGCTTGGAAACCCTAGCCCTAGCTAGCTAGGTAGATGAAAGAGATGATGAGAGTAGAGTAGAGTACTCACAGTGCAGTGGGTTGACAGAAGAAGAAAGCATCATAATATCAGAGCTGAGTGATGAATGAAAAAGAACTGAGATATTGGCACGGCTCAATCAGACCTAACATATATATATAATATATATATAAACCCTAATGACTATATATACACATATACATATAGACAAGAGGTTGAATATATAATATAGAGTCTGAGTGAACCGGGCCAATACCAGAGTTACCCTTTCACATTGAACAAATAAGATCTCTAAACTCATCATATTATCATATCTACACGTAAAACACAAACACAACCCTTCACCTTTTGCTCTTCTTCGTCACTATAATCATTACAATGAGAGAGAGAGAGAGAGAGAGAGAGAGAGAGAGAGAGAGAGGAATGAAGGGTAGGGCAGAGAGGTAGAGGAAAGGCAGTAAGGATGGAGAGGGTTGAGAATGTCAGGAGGGAATTATATTCAAGTAGGAGAAGGGTAAGAATGTAAGATTAAAAATGAGTGGGAATAAGGTTCAAATTGAGCACTGAATGTAACCTGAAAATGCAATTAGGCCACTGAACGAAAGAAAAAGTATAATTAGGTCACTGAACACTCTAAAAACGTGCAATTAGGCCACTGAACACTCCAAATGTATGCAATTTCACCGGATATCAGGTTACATGCTTACGTGGCAGCTGATTAGGCATTTTCAATAATTTTTAAATAATTTTTAATAAATTAAAAAAAAAATGAAAAATAAATAAATAAAACGACGGGGTGGCAGGCAGAGACGAAGGACCGGGGGGCCGGCGGCCACCCTGTCGTTTGTTTTTTTTTAAGCTTTTTTTTTTTAAATTATTATTAAAAATGCCAACTCAGCTGCCACGTAAGTAGGTAACCTGCTAAAATTGATGGTAACCTGCTATCATGTGAAATTGCATATATTTGAAGTGTTTAGTGGTCTAATTGCACTTTTTTTTTTGAAACGTGTAGTTTCATAAGGCAAAAAAAAAAACAAAAAACAAAACAAAAAAAAAACAAAACAAAACAAAAACAAAAAACAAAAAACAAAAATTTGCCACATATCATCCAAAAGAGTTCATCATTAAACTATCAAAAGAAACATTTGCAGATAAGATATTACCAAAATTTTAGAATAATCTCTGTCCAAATGAAGTACCTCAATAAAAGAAAACCCACACGATTTGTTAAAGTTGAAAAATAAAGATGTTTAGTAGATTAATATCAGTAGAGAACATAAGAAATCCTCTATCATAAATATTATCCAAACATGAATTGTTTATTCAAAGGACAAATCTTTACGAAAGACTTAGTTTATATCATAAGATTTGTCCAAGAAGAAGAAAATTTAAAGAAAATTAGTATATTTACCCTAACAAATTAAAAGATTCAAGCTATCAATAGTGATGGACTAAGAGCAACCTTAATTGTATGGATTTTTCATTGATTTTTTCAATCATGTAGGAGAGGGAAGAAAGAAGAAAGAGAAAAAATGGGAGAAAAAAAAAATTGACAAGAAAACATGTATGAAAAAGAAAGACCAAATCTTGTAATAAATATTCAAAATTTAGGGGAATATACTTTGTAAATTAGAGAGAGGAAAAATATTATAAATATTATAAAGTCCTTGGTAGTTATTTATTTGCTTTAATTTGCAAGTTATACTCTCCCATATGTATATATACATTATTGGAAATTATGGAATTTCTGACCACCGGAAAGTGATCTTAAATCAAATCTAAAGTAAAAAGTGGTCAGAAATAGCTATAAAGGTTTTTTCGGACACCAAAAGTGGTCGGAACAAGGCTTTTGACTTGATTTAAGATCATTTTCAGGTGGTCGGAAATTCCATAATTTTCAGCAGTGATAATTAACTTTAATTTGCCTGCATGGGCAGTTCAGTTGATCATAGGGATGAAGTTTGGTAAGAATAATCAGGGATCGAGTGAGGGGGTCTCCTTGTGCGCAGTAAACAAAGATCTAGCATCTGTGTTCAACTGAGTTACCATAATTTAAATAATGCTCTGTCGGGTCCTTAGGGTTGGGAAGAAAGAATCAACTTTAATTTGTAAAACATGCAATATATATTGCATTTCTGAAATATTTGAAAATAGGAAGTAATTAATTTGCAGAGAATTGAAGGGCAACATCGATGGTCATAATGTGAAAAACAAAAAGCATGGAAGAAAAGAGGAAAGGCCAACTACCCATGCAGTAAGGGCAGACCATAGTCCATAAATGAAAGGAATCTGTCTGTCTGTCTCTCTCATTCATAAATACAATATGATTCACAGCTTTAATATTGTGCAGAACAAATTAATGGCGATGAAACTAACCGGCAGAGAATCAATCAGAGCGGAGGGCAAAAGAGCTTTTGCTCGTGAACAACCCAACTCTGTGTATGTATATATTGGGGATTCATTTATCACTCTTATCTCCTTTTCTTTATAGCTCTGCCCATCAAAACCACCCCATTTTGGATTCTGCATGCTTTTAATTTATTTCAACCCCCTACCTAGCTAAATGTATGTTATGTTCTAATTGGATAATGAAACAAAAATTACTACTTCACTATCACCCACGATATGTCTATACATCAAGAAATAATATAAGTAAAATAAAAACTTGCTCTATTTTAATGCGAGACGAGCTCCAAGATTTAACTTGTTTTGACACCTCTAGTTCTGGACCTGTATTTGTATCACATAATTAAGTATTATAAATAATGGGTACATTGTTAATTTGGTTTATCTAATCACTCTATAACTAGGGTTAATTTTCATGTGTGATGTATTCAAGCTGCGATTATCCATAATAAATATTCTATGCTTTGCCCCAGGATAGCATATAGTAGTTTGTCGCTTGACTTGATGTCACAACTAACGACAGGAGTGTGGGGTTTCGAATCACACTGGAAACATGTATGGAAAAATTAAAGATTGAGGATGATGGAATGTGAGAATTGGACCGTTTGTGCATGCATAAAGATTAGGGTTTAACTAGTGGAGTGATTATGCGACTTGCGATTTACCTTTGCAGTGGCTCTAGGGACGGGGTCCTGTGAGCTTAAAATTCTTCCAGTAAAATTAGGATAACCCTAAGTATTAAAAAATGTCATTTTTTTAAAATTAGTTTCTCAACCTACTAAAGCAACATGCCACCTCCATTGAAGCTCGAACTCACACACTGCCATATGAGAGTGCAACCTTGGTGCCCTTAGATCAGAAGGTCATTTATTTGGTGACAAATTGACAATGAATAAAAAGTCTATTTAAGTCTTGTTGTTCTTTCATCAAGTAAAAAACTTATCAATTATTTTCTCAACAGTAATTATTATTTTTATTCAATAAATAATTCAATGTACAAATAAATGTTTACATTAAAAAATAAAATAACCAATAAATGTAAATCTTAATTAACTACTAATTATAAAGACACACTAATTGATCAATTAATAGAAGTACACACTAATTAATTACCTAGTGCGAACGTATGCTCCTTTCTTTTGAACTCCCCACAATGTGTTGTTAAAAAGTCTACTATATGAATCCAAAAGTCTAAAGCCGAAGTCCAAAAGCATCAAACTTTATATAAGGTTTAAAAAAAAAAAAAAAAGTAGTGATAGGCATATGTTTGGATGATGTGTATATTTAAATAAAAATAAAGTGATATTTTTATAAAAATACAATAGTTTTGTATAGGACACTCAGTATTCTCATCACCGAGAAACTAATTTAGAGTTAGTTGAGGCCATGTCTGCAGATTTTGAGTAAAATGTGTATTACTTGAAAGAAAATTCACATTTTTTAGGGAAAAACCTGTTGAAATATACAAAAATTTAAATAAAATAATGAAGGGAAAATGGCACTTTTTTCCCCTGAGTTATATACTTATAGCATTTTTCCCCCCTGAAGTATTGAAGTGGCTGTTTTTCCCCCTGAAATGTTAAATGGACATATTTACCCTTAAAATAAATATTTCATTTATTTTTTTTCAACAAATTATGACCATAATTTGGTTCAAACCAAACAAACCGAAATATTCCAATTACAATTTAGAATCGAAATTCGATATTTAGAGTTTATTAAAATCATGAACCGGAACGGACGGTTTATATTCCAAACTGAAAAAATAAAATACATTTATTGTTGAATTTAGACTATTTTAAAATAAAAAAATAAAATTTTAAAATAAAGACGCTTCAAAATTGCGAATCGGATCCGGAACCGCGGGTTCATGGTTCAAGATTCCATTTTTTTGATACATAATTTTAATAAATTGACATTTAAATATTGAGTTCTAGATCTGAATCATAATCGGAAACTATTAATTCGATTGCTTTAGTATCCGGTTCAATTCAAATCGAACCGTGGTCATCCCTACATATACGCAATAATTTGTTGGAGAAGTAAAATAAATAAACTGTTTACTTTAAGGGTATAAATGTCAATTTAATATATCAGGGGGAAAAACACCACTTTTAGAATAATTGAGGGGACTAATGTGCTTACCTAAATAATTGAGGGGGAAAAAATGCTATAAGTATATAACTTAGGGGTAAAAAGTGTCATTTTCCCAATAATGAAAAAAGTATTAAATAGGTCACTAAATTTTTACACTTTGTTCAATTGAACCATCAAACAAAAAAAGTGTGCAATTAGACTTTAAATAAGATGTCATAATGTCAAATTATATATATAAATGATTTTAATTATAGTTTTTAAAAATTAAAGGAAAAAAACAACTTTTTTAAAAAAATTTCTGAAGGTGGAGGCAGCCTTCTCCTTCGTCGCTTTGTCTGCTGTGGATGAAGGGGGTGGTAGCCATGACTGCCTCCACCTTTGTCCTGGATGAGGATGGAGGTAGCCAAGGCTAACCCTTCTTTCATCCAAACTGAACAAAGGGGAAACAGTCATGGTTGCTCCCTCCTTCATATAGATTAGATGAAGGAGAGGAGGGGACAGCTGTCTCCATCCTCATTCAAGACAAAGGTAGGGGCATTCATGGTTGTTTCCCCTTCATCCACAATAGACGAAGGTGGGGTAATTGTGGTTGTCTTCCCCTTCCTCCATAACAAACAAAGGTGGCTGGTTACCCCACCTTTTGATTTTTTTTTTTAGTATCTTTAAAATTTTAAAAAATTAATAATTAAATAATTTTTATATTTTTATATATAATTTAACAATATGACATCATATTTTATCATAAGTAACTTGTAAAAAAAATATTATTTGCATAATTTTTATTTGTTTAATGGTCTAATTGCACACTTTTTTATTGTTTGATGGTTCAATTACATAAAGTGTAAAAGTTCAATTACATATTTGACACTTTTTCTTAAAATAAACCCAATAGTTGCTTGAGATCAATGATGGAAATAGGGTATCTTTAAAAAGCCAACACTTGTCAAGATTGGCCATGATCATACAGGCACTACACAAGTGATCTCATTTCCAGGGCCACTAGTCAACCAATGGCAATATACTGAAATATGTACGAAAGATTCATGGTCAAAACAAACGGAATAGGTCTATTCCCAAGAATGTTATTCCATTTTTGACCTATTCCATGAACCGAACCAAACCAAACATGCACTTAGTGACATCGAGGAAGAGTAAGGGGCCAAGGGGGAATGTTAAATAGAAACATTAGGAGCATGTTGTTTCATATGGCATTACAAACACATATATACACACTTTAGAGTCAAACATTCCTAAATATAAAGCGCTAGCACAAGTCTTTCTTGACTTCTATGCATTGAAAAGTGCCTATATATATAGGTTTGTTGTCACGTTAAATTTGAGGTGAGGTGTAACCATCCGATTAGCTGGAGAAGATCATCCAAACTCTCTGGTAAACAAAAAAATTCAAAATAAATTAATCTTCTTTTTACACATTGATATATACACCAGATATTTTGATAGAAAACCAAAATGTAACTTCAATAAAGATAGCAAAGAATTAGTAGTAAATGATGATCTACCTTGGAGGATAATCTAGTGCTCAAGTTTCGATTCACGAAGCTTTATTAGTTTTTCTCTCCACATGACTGAAGAAAAAAAATAAAACGTGATTAGTAGTTGTGTTAGGTATTTCTTTAGTTTAGTGAAAGGGAACATATAGTCCAAGTCCGACATACCTGCTTCACTGTATCGTTCTTGTTTGACAGCTGAATTCATATTTCTCATCAGAACAAGTTCTTCAGAAAGTAAATCAGGGCCATCTGAAGCACTATATAAGATAACACCCACGCTTTAGATATGATAAAGTCTGGGAAAAATATACATATATAAGTATCTGGAAACACAAGAACAAACCTATCTAGAGAGACATCATATATGGCCTTTGCATTGCTCGATCTTGCCATCCCATGAACCATTCTAATTGCATCTGTTAAGACAATTTGTTTATTTACAAATATTGGGGCCTGCATACATCCAAAAACAGAGTGAATGAGTTCATGAAATTTGTAGTGCGTTGTTCTCAAATTTTTAGGAAAATGCACACCTTGCATCTTTTAGCAACATTTATGGCATCAGATGGGCGGGCATCCACACTTATAATATCTGTTTCCCCGGACTGTATAAATAAGAAGCATTAAGTCACTCCAAAAAATACATGCTATATAATAATACAAACTTGCAATCATGAGTGTGTTTAACTGAATGTACTTCACACTCTTTTTTTAATGTACCTTCTGAAAAAGTATTCTAGTAAAATAAGTATTAACCACTCTTTCTGTAATCTTCACCATTTTAACCTGTAAAATGAAAGTTTACAAGTATAAGGAATTGCAAACTCAAAAGAGTTAATGAGGTTTACTTCATGCAAAAGCTAAATTCTTGTACACATACCAAGAAGCATCTTATAAGATCTAAAAGAACAAGGTAGGTCGCCAGATCAGGATATGATTATCTGAAAGGGTTGTACTATTAACAAACTGATAACATAGAAACGTGTAGTTTCACTGCAGAAATATAACTTTTCCTTTCTTCCTTGCGAGATACTGAAAGGTTTAGATGCATATGAGGAGAGAGATGGAGATTGTAGATCATTATTTCAAGACCAAGTATATGATCAGGCAAGCCCAGTTAAAATAGGAACTTTCTTTGCACAAGCACATTCGTCTATATAATCTTACATTTACAATCAATTCTCCACTGAATCCAAAATATTTACGATCATGCAAAACTCTGGGAACTTGGAAGTCAACAACTAAAGCAATTAATGAAGTATACAGCCCAAATTACCAAAACAAAAATGGTGAACCCAAAAAAAAAATGGGGGGATAAGACTACATACTTCATAGTCAAGCTTCTCCAATAAATTTCTTATAAGCTGAAACTGGTTTGGACAATCCTGCAGCAGCCCCAAACATAAGCATTGTGATAAAAGATGAAGAAACAGCACATTCCACCATAAAATAAGAAAGTACCTCAGTTTGATCCTCGTACAAAGAGTCGACTAGCTTTTCAACAGCATATTCCCCTGAAGTAGGGTGCATTAGAAATAAGCTGTAAAGTTCAGTACCAAGTTTATGTATGCAAGGCAAAAGGCAAGAAGGATTAAAATTCATACCTACAATAATAGGTAACACAAAGTCCCCATCACAAGAAATCTTAAGAAAAATAGTTGGACTCTGATAATGGCGGAGAAATCCTGTCCCTATAAAAGACACATCAACCCCCCTTGGATCATTTGCTCGAACGGAAAAGGGAGACAGATGGGCAAATGACTCCCATTGTGTATTTTCTTGAAATCCTTTCAAGCGCATGCGGTGGTGCTTGATAGTTTCTGCAGAAGTCATAGTTCATAAATCATCTCAGTTACTTGGACCTAAGAAAGACAATCCTATTCTCCCAGACATATGGGAAGACACTGTTAGTAATTGCTGTGACCTTGTGTCATGGGGGTAAATTCAAGTTTCAATGGTTAAGGTTGTGAATAACAACAGAATATAATAAGTTGATAATTTATAAATAGCAACATAATATTTTTCACATATCAGCTATTTTGCTGTGCAAAATACTAGTGTTTGTTTGTGTGATTTCTTCATTGTATCAGAAGTTGTATGACTCCAAAAATCATTTGTGGGCAGCTAAACTTAGCTAATTTTTTTTTTTTTTTATAATAAAGATACATCATTTACATTGTCTCAATTGTATCTAATTGATTTTCTATATAATCATTTAATTTTTTTTTAAAAATCCACAATCAATTAATTCGAATTCTGTTTATAGCAAAATCAAACATATAATTTTAGGTTTAATAAATTTTGACAAAGAGTAACCAAAATTTAGTTAAACGGAGAATTTTTGAGACCTGAAACGAGTACAACGGCTTCGACGTAATCGCCATCGCGGTCTTCGCTATGGTTCGATTTTCTCCCGGAGCTTCCGCGAGAAGACTTGGAAGACATCTCCACCGTCGCTCTCGACGGCTTCCTACAAATCATACAATGCCTTTTGGGGGAGCGCAAGAGCTGAAACGAACAGCCGCGGCGGCGGATAAGCGGTAGCGAAGAAGAGTGAGAATGCAAGCTGGAAATCCGGCAGAAGCGCGTCGTCGTCGTCTGGGCATAATCGGTGAGAACGCCGGCACCGGCGATCGTACGGACGCCTAGTTGAGATCCGAGCATCGTAATCCGATGTAAGTGCAACCGGAAATTGGAAACAATTTGTGAACCCTTCACCAACAATACTCTCCGTGATGCTTTACGATGATAGTCTGTCGTGTGATCTGTGGATATATTCTTAATATTAATAAAGTGTTTTCATTATATTTTAGTTTAGTCCGTACTATTTGCTGGAAAGCTAAGAAGATAAGGGTCAGATTCGCTTCGACCCATTACTCGCTTCAAACCTATTTTACTCTCTTTTTTTTTTTTTTTCTTTTTTCTTTTTTTAACATATAAGGAGTAATAATTTATTATAGATTAAGATAAACATCAGTAATTAATTATAAACAAATGTATATTTATAATGACATGTTTTCAATGGAAAAAATGATTAAATCGATATTGAGACTATAATAAATATGATTAAATTAGCATGGCATTTGTTACACGAATTAAAAATAAGTACGTCTCGACAAAGCATTTGAGAGGATGTAAATAATTATAACTCAGCTAAATTCAAAAGTTAAATTTTTTTGAAACTCGATCTTAGGTCATTGTTCCCAAACTTTACTCATGTGACCAACTAAATTGTTCATGCCGGATATATTATATTAAATGATTACATAATAAAATGTGTGACGTAACAATTACGACTTAAAAATAAATGTGACAAAGTGATAATATGATAGAAAATAAAAATACTTTAGCTTGAAAAAAAATTGAGATATTTTGGATGAAATATCAAATATGAGTGAGACCTTCCAACAGAAAAATCACAAAATCTCATTGGAGTTGCATGACACGTGTACGCCGCATACGCACCATGTGCCTCGTGACATGGGAACACACCAGAAATGACAATGAAACATTTTTATTAAATTTGCTCAAATAATATTCTCTATTACTCTGTAATAGAATACAAAATTATTAGTTAAAGTATCAACAAACGAATATATACAAATTAAAGCATAAAACACAAGAAAATTACGGTTTAGATATTATATTTATGGTGTGTTTATAAGTTAAATAATAACATCAAATTTAATAAAAACAGTAAGAGTTGTTAAAGGATCTAAAGAAGTCAATATGTGCATTACTGTACATTTCATAAATGATTGGTGAAAGTTAAGTAAGAAAATTATATTTTTTGTCTACGTTGTTTTTGAGAAATATGTAACTAAGGCCTTAAAGCTCTTTGATTGAATGGGAAATCAAAAATATCTTTACTTTCCATGAGTTTTTTTAAAAGTAAATTGTTGTCTTCCAGTACAACCTCTTATTAGGAGTTATTACATGTACATGAGGTGCATAGCTCACATATTGAGCTAAAATTTGTTAATAATTTTGTGAGCTCTTTGATTGAATGGGAAATCAAAAATATTTTTACTGTAAGGACAATGCCTGAGTTTTTTTAAAAGTAAATTGTTGTCTTCGAGTACAACCTCTTATTAGGAGTTAGTACATGTACATGAGGTGCATAGCTCACATATTGAGCTAAAATTTGTTAATAGTTTTGTTAAGAGAGTTGTGATATTTTTTAAGAACTCATTAAATTTAGAGATTATGCTGATCTAATTGGGGTGAAAACAAAATGTGCTTTATATCTAGATGTTCCAACAAGATGAAATAACACCTACATTATGCTTAACATTGGCATATAATCAAGAAGGTATTTGAAGCATATGACAAGAATGACTCATGCCTCATTTTCTACTGGTCTAGCTGATTCTATTAATCTATTTGGTGTGATGTGGAAAGCTTGGTAATTCTGCCCAAAAACCTTTATAAGATGACAGTCAAAATATCTTGTTCATTTGAATTGCATGTTGGATGACATGATTGTTGCTAAAACTGGTTTTGAAAAGGTAATTAATAAATTTACCTCCTTTTATTTTTTTTAAAAAAACTTGTTAGCTTATGTATTTGTATTTTATTAAGAAATAGGGTCCCAAATAAAAATTAAGTTTGAAAAATATTAGGAGACACCGAAAAAATTAATTTCTTGGTATTTTTTTTTCAAATATTTTAGACCAGTTTGTCCAAATATCTACAGTTACCCCTGATTGGTACAAATTGAGGAAAATATTAATGATGTTAAAATGACTGAAAAAGATATTCGATAATCTATATTCATAATTCAATTTCTATTACAGAGTATTTACTTTTTACTTAGTTACTTTCCATTTTTAATTTGCAGAGTGGCCACTGGATGTACCAGAGTTGGGACTGCTAGAATTAGTTCTTCCATTCATATCATTCTTGTAATCTTTATATATTTCACATTTCATTCTAGTTTTGGTGAATATGTTGTGATTTAGTGTGAATTGCTGAATTATAATTTGCGAGGTAAAATAACAAGGGGCAATGGCTAACAACATTCAATTGTTACAGCCCTTAATTCCATTCCATCAATCCCATGGTCCCCTTGACTGCCTTGAGTAAAAAACAGGAAACAATATTAATTCAATAAAGCTGATAGTCATCTAATATGAAATATCACTCACGCTAATTTTCATATTAAAGTTTTTTTTAATCGCCATTTTGATCCTCAAGTTTAACGGTGGAGTTTAACATATCCGTTTCCACTACTACCGAGTTCCTGATCTTAGAATTGAAAAACAAAGATAGAATGAGGCCTCAGAATTGCAGAATGACAGCAAGGCCTTTCGGCCATTCAGTCCCGAAAGATGGTGTAATTTTAATGAAGATTTCTTCACAGGCCAAATCATCTCAACAATCACTTACTTGATAAGAATTTCAAACTTTCAGGGATAAAATGCAGAGATAATGTATTGAAGAATGCATGAATGTACTTCTCATGGCCAGGCCCAAGAGGTCACCGCAGAGAATCTGCTCCCCAAGACGACAGGATATGAGATTGCCCCCTTCGGACTGTAGAAGAGGAAGAAACGGTATAAACCGCCTCGTCCACTCCCCATCAACAAAGGAAGCTCGATCTGTGACAATTTTTACACACACGGGCTATGCGAGCACTGCGATTGCTCGCCCCGATAACAGTGAATCGTCACATCTATTCTATTGGGAGAAAACCAAGTGCAATAAATCATGATTACACAAAACTAAGACACAGAACGAGAAAGAGAAGAGAGACGGATCAGCTCCTAATGCCGCGGCTGAACGGCTGCTTCAAACGAAGAAGACGAAACCAAAACCCTAGCTATCTAAATGAAGCGGAAGGATGAATACGGAGGGGTTTAGGATGATCAATTTATAAGGGAGGGCTGTAACATAATCGCGGCGGCAGCGCAGATTAGGGTTAGGGTTAGGGATAGTATTCAAAAAAGCGTTAGGATAAATTGCAACATTTATAATTTTTTTATTAAAAAAATATTACCCCATATTAAAAAAGAAAACAAAGTGCTTACTTACCCTTAACCACAATTCTACCTACCAAGTTGTTACAAGTTTGACTCCAAACAGAAACGATTTATTGATTTTCTTAGTTTGAACCGATCAAGCCGATTCTTTACTTTTTTGTGATTCTTTGTTGACTCACTCTTATATAGTGAATGCGAATTTTTCTCATTAATCAAAATAATAATAATGACAGAAATTAAAAATATCAATATTATATTGAGCCATTTTTAGATGTTCTCCTGATGTGATGATGGTGCATGTTGATAGATTCAAGACACTAAACTTATTGAATGTACCTTAATTATGATTTGAAAGAAAGAGAAGGAGAAGGTGAGAATCTTAATTCAGAAATTGCAAGAATAAATAGAAATGGTATAAACAGAAGAAACTTCTCACATCAACACATCAAGAACAGCATCCATCAAAGAATTCAGTTCTAACAATCTATGGTCCAAACAGGGCTGAATTTCCATCCAACAACAACCCACTCTTAACAATGGCATCCAAATCAGGAAAACAAAACAAAAGCAGATGCAATCCACTCATGGTTATCGACAACTATGTTGTGAGAACATCAGGAAGTGTAGCCGAGGGAGTTCCGATGACTTTACCCCCAATATCCGGGAAATTTTCATTCCCAGGTAACGGGCATACTGTACCGTCTTCTTTCACCTCTAAAGGATACTTCAGAAGATGGCCCTGCAAGCGATTGAAATTCTCGTCTGTGTATTTTCTCCAGTTTTCTTGAGCAACCTCGTTCACAAACTTCACGCACTTCACTTTTCCTGGCTCGTTAAAACATTTTTCAATCGTTCCCAGGTGTTCTGCCCACAACGACTTCCGGTATCCATAGATCTGCAAGAATTGATGACAATACAAACAGCAAGTTAGTACCCCAAGGAGAAGGAAATGCAGTAAAGGATATCATAAAATCTGAAAAGAAAGATAAGGCATTTCAAGGCAAAGTAAAGAATGGAACCTGTCCCCGAGGATGCCCCTGCTTTGTTGCCCAAGTATGATGAGGCTGGTAAGCACCCATAGCTATCTCAGTGTCCTTCGAGCCAGCCATAGATCGCTGGTTTATATTTGCAGATCCTATAATCACATACTCATCATCCACTATCATTCCTTTAGCATGCACATATATCATGAAGCGCTGAAACTTAAACGAGTCTGAAACCTGATTGATTGCATGTCATTATGTCAAGTTTAGCAAACCTTGATGAAATGATGGCACAAAAATTCAATGAAAAACTACCTTATCTGTGGCACTAATGGACTCAGCCACTGAACTTGGAACTTCTTCCCGGTTGCCAAGGCAATAGAAATTCAAGTAGTCTGTAGGATGTGCATCAAGTTGCATAGATTTGATCTCCCGTGCAATGACTTGATACATCATCTGCATTGTTTGGCTCTGTAAAATGCAGTATGCAGAAGCAAATTGTCAAAAATATTATCCGTGATATATATATATATATATATATATATATATATAGGAAAAAGTTCCCGGGGGCGGTGCGGCGGGGTTACAGAATACACCAACAGTGTTATCAACATGCACCAACAGTGTAAGGGAAACGCACCACAATGAAATGCAAAAAAACATCACAGAATACACAACAGACCCAAAAAATACACCATATAACTCACCACACCCCAATGGTGTATTTCCGAACACTGTATGGTGTTTTTACTCACTCCTAATGGTGTGTTTTTTGTGATGCGTACCTAATTTGTGTGTATTTTTGTGGTGTGTTTTCC